TACTAAAGTTTTCGGATGGCGCTAAGTTCTTCAGAGAAATTAAAAACCAAATGGACTGTGAAGCGTTACAGGATGATCTTGTCGGCTTCAAGAGTAGTCGAAGGAATGGCTGTTCTGGTTCAAAGTCACGAAATGCAAAAGGATGTGCCGAGGTCGTATCAATGGTAAGGAGGTGTATTACATGTCCCAGCGTGTCGAGGAAAGATAAGGTAAATTTGTATTGTCACACCGTTCACTTTTAGCAAGTAAAAAATATATTTTTCTAGTGCATTTGTGTGTGTTTAGACCGAATATAACCTTCATTTTTGGCGGAAATTAGCTGTTTTTTTGTTAGCGATTTTTTTCGTTTGACGTTTTCTGAAAAAAAAAGTGGCTAAGCGACTAAAAAATAAAAAAAAATAGAAAAACAAAAACCTAACCGAACCTAACTTAACTGACTCACTATATGATGGAATCACCTATTTCTTACCTTATTGGCCTGGTTCTTGTTCATCATTGCATTCTGAGATTCTTACCCAACGCCACATGTGTTGGTCTTTGCGATATTTACATTCAGTCTTGCTCTTAGTACACTTTACTGAGGTTGGAAGAACACCATGCAATCGAACAAATGCTATAGTTTCTACGTTTTTATCCCAAAAACTCGCAATCAGCTCCATATACTTTAAGTGACATGCATCGCAGACTTCCATGGTCGGAACTGAACTTGAATTTCAAAATATGAGACCCAAAATAAAACTCGATTTTGATTTGGCCAAATATTCTCTGAATTAAACCCAAAATAATTTTAATTGGTTCCAAAAGCAAAAACGCTTTTGACTGGCCGCGTGACGTGTACGGTTACCATGCCGTGATGATTTATGAAGGAAACGCGAGAGAGAGAGCAGTGTTGGGTGAGAGGCAGACGATAATGGCGGGAGGTTAATGGAAGAAAGTAGATTTTTTTTGGAAAAACTATCTCCGTTATTATACATTTCCGCCGGTAATGTAGGCTAATAGATGAAAATTATCTTATAATTAGACGTCTTATTCGAATATGATAATAGATTAGTGGTAGGAATGAACGGTGTGTAAATGCAATAATACCAAAGATACACTCTAGTCTCACTACAGGAAAACAAACAAAACTTACCTTTGGTTAACTGTAGATCCATCCCATAACGGTGGTGACACTGTTAAGTTACGGGACATGTCAAGTGTTATTATGGTGTGTAACTTTGAACTAATGACACTGTTCCTGATAGACGGTGAAAGGTGTGTTGGCCTTCCCTCGATGACACCCAAGCAAAGACTTTGTCACTGTCCAAGGCCCAAGCCAGAAACTGTACCACACACAGAAGGTACAAGGTACGTGCACAACCCTAAGTCATACCTCCAGCAACTAGTTCGATGGTTCTATTAAGAATATGATATCCAAAATTTACAAATAACAAAATGTCCACCATCAAACGAACAAATACAGCATTGTACAACAGTTTTATTAAGCTACTTAAACTATATAAAATGAGTTACTGGTATAATAATAAACATACATACCAGAATCACCTATTCACCAATAACGTGGTAACTGTCCACAATGATGAATTAATGAGCTTGTCTGTCACCTAAGTTTTACAAATATTTGGGTTTGACACTAACATGCCGCAATGGACTTATTAATGTTAATAAACTCAGTTAATGGCTTTTATATTTTGATAAATTACTTTTGTAACCAAAAATATATTTAACCAAGTCATATATTGTCTATCGTTGTTAGAAAGGTTAATGGGTGTTGAAGGTCCAGTGAGTGATGGTACAGTGTGCATCTCTCACTATAGTGTCCTGGGATCGAGTACCATCACAAGACACGGGTTGGAAGGCATATCCAGTGACACTAATAATTGCAGGTTTCCTCCTGTACTAACACTGAACAATAATGTTAATAACAAAAGAAGGGACCAACCGCCTGAACGGCTTGTAAACTGATTAATGGTAAATTAAATCTTAATCAGAGTACCGTCCTCATAATCTAGTTCTAGGGGTTGGCGACCACAGTCCTCCGATAAATGTATTGGGGCTGTTTACCAACCCTACAAGATTTTACATCTGTAGGGTTTTTGAATTTAATTCATCCATCAGTCCCTGCTTTCCCCTGGCCCTCCAACCCTCAACTTTACTCATTTTCTTTTTTGTAAGTTTCAAGAATTTCCCTTGAAGATTTTGCTAACCTTAGTACTTCATTTGCTTTCCGGTCTGTGTAAATTATTTGTAACATTTGCCTAAAACACATTTCAAAGGCCTTTAACCTCATTGTGCTGCATGGTAAATGTTATAAACTACAGGTAGATTATGCAGCCTGTCTGCATGATAGTGTGTAGACTAAAACTTATAGTAGCACGTAGGGAGATTTATCAAATAATTAGGTGAAAAAAATCCTAATACAACAGCCTTCTCAATCTGAAGTGGTGGGATGGGTCCTTGCTGCTCACTCTAAGAAGGTTTCAATAGGCCATTGTCACAATCTTTGTATTCATTCACTGACAATGTTCCTGCCCGGGGTTTTTTCATGACCTTTCATGTTGCTTCAGCGTGGTAAACGGGGAGTGCTTCAAGGACGAGAGAGAGGACAGGAAAGCTCCCCAACTGCCGTGTCTCACATATCACTAAACTCTTCAACCTCCACTGTGATGCAAATGACGTCAGTACACCTGGGCCTCCATCAGTGTTTTTTTATCACTCTGTATACACACACACTAAGTATATCGCATGGCTGCTGAACAGTGAATATTACCACAGTACACTTTTATTCACCCAAAAGGTTTCATGAGTTTATTATGATCAGTCTACTACTTCCTAGAACCGTCCCTTAGTAAAGAATCATTGGCTGGAGTGTTAGCCGATAGGTTCACCCGACACACCTGTACACTGACGGTTCAGTACATTAATAATATTAATTGATATTCAGTCTATTTGACCAAGCACAGCTAACAAAGCCATGAGAGGTTTGTTTCCAGTAGAGTTCATATGCCAGCAGCATCTGGTTTTTTTTAGGGCCAGGCAGTCTCCCAGCAAACCAAATGGAGCTTCCATCATGGTACTACTTGTTGCGCAATGAAACTGCTTTCAGGAACTAGCAATAGCCGCATTAAATGCTTATTGTTTGCCATTAAGTAATGAGGTCGTTTAACATATATTTTCACGTTACAAAGTAACATACGAAATAAACTCAACCAATTTATTATGTTATCCTAAGAATCAAAACAAGACCACTTCAATAACAACTATTGAAAGATTTCAGTGTACAACATCTGCAAGTTTTGGTATCAACAGCAATCAACGCTGACAACAATGATGATTTTTATGATAATCGGAGTGCCCTTATAGCCAATGGCGAGTGTTAAAATTTGTTTTGAATACACTGTAATAATTCCCAATAAATATTATACTGTAATAATTACATTTTAAATTACTGTACTGTATTCTAGTCAAATATAAAAAGAAATGTATATTCTGTACCTCTATTCAGTAATATCTCCGTTAGATGGAATCCCTCCCAGAACTCTAGGATAGCCGGAATTGAAATTTCTCAGCAAATTGTTCCCAAAGCCAGAATTTTCCAGCTTTAGGAACGATATTCTGAGGAGCACATTTTCCAAAAAATTCCGATAAAATTTTCCAGATACCTGGATAATTACATGGGATTTGTTTATTTTTGTGTTACGGGTTTGAGAAATGAAAATCAGGTGAATTTTCTGGAAATTACAAGAAAAATTTTATGGTACCCAGAATATTCCGGGGTTGGGGTATATTATTCTGGGTTCGAGAGATGATGTAATAGGCAATTTCTGGAAATTCCCAGAACATTTTCCGTTACCCGGAAAATTCCGGGGAATTTTTTTCTGGTTTTGAGTCGTCCCATTACCCGGAAATCTCTCATTACCGGAAGTGCTCTGCAACAATTATTCCGGCTAATGGAGATATCACTGCACTGAATATTGGTTATATTGTTCCAAGTAACGATTTGGCATTTTAGAGTGATGTGTTTGGCTATTTTCCTATAAAATCAACATCGCAACCCTGGCTCGAGCCACAAAATTCACCACACTTTAAACTAAGTCCCAAGTGTTATTTGCCATTTTGGCGAGGTTTTGTTGTCCAATTTCACCAAGAAAATACGCTTCAACTTTTTCACCTCTTCCAGCAAAGCTAAAACCTGTTAATAAATCTTGCGCCCTCAACTAGCTGATATCCTTAGCTTGCGATTGATCGGTATGTTTTAAAAGCGTAACTGTAATTGGCCGACTGGCCCGCAGGAAGACTCATTGTCAGAATTTATATTTGAGTTATAATACCTTAATAACAATGCAAAATAGTTTTGAGTATGAGGGATTTACAATGTTGTATGCAGTTTAAAAGTTTGTTACCATAAATCAGTTACAAGATCACCGGAATGTAACTTACGAGGAGTTCTGAGTACCCAGGCCCAGTTACTTTGGCATGTATTTATTGACTTCCTTGTGAGGATGGTTCAGTAAACAAGCCACACATAACCCTGTCTTTAATAGCTTGTAGAACATACAACCATGTTTGTCAACTGTTGAAATTATAAGGTTTTATTATGGAGAAAATTTATATAGCAATGGCATGATAACCAAGTTTACATTATGGCCAAGGTAAATGAAATATTATTATTATTATTATGCATATGACATTAAAACTGAGAAGAATTTATATACAGTACTCTGTATATATATATATATATATATATATATATATATATATATATATATATATATATATATATATATATATATATATATATATATATATATATATATATATATATATATATATATATATATATATATATATATACACACACACACTTATCACATCAGCTGCTTAATTTTGAAAGCAACTATCAACCTTTTTTCAAAAACCAACAGTTTTATGCTGTGACACACTGTCAATATATACGAACTATTGTTCCTTCTGGAAATGCTGAAGAAAACCATTTCACCTCAGGGTAAATTGCATGAAATTTTTTTGATAATAAAGTTACATAAAATGACATTAGTCTCAATAAACAGAAGTGACTTTCAAATTTTTTAGCAACTTAACTACAGTACAGTACTGTAGTGGTAAAATACGAGACATCCACTTATTTTAATTTATGTCATGAATCATAGTGTGTACTGTAGGCTGATGTATGGATGTCCAAAGACAACTAGTTCTGTACTGTATAATGGTAAAGTGATGTTCAATTAGTTACAATCAGTGAAGAAACCACATGCAACATCAATTACTTTATACAAATACTGTAGTGCTCAGTAAAGGAAACAATATTTTTACAATATGACATTACTGTGGTCAAATCTTCAAATTCAAAACTTATTCAGTGTATTATGAAAATAATTATATTTTTTTGTTTGTTTTTTACACGTATTTCTACTTGGCCAGAGATTGATATTTTAGGTCTTATTTATGAAAAAGAAAAACTCACAATCTTGTCTGCAAAGACAATGACACAAATTTACAAACAAATCTTACACACATTCACATATGCAAAAACATTACATTGACATACATATTCAGTAATTAACAAACCATATAAAATTACATTGTAATTGATTGCTTAAGTCAAGTAATAATATATTAGACCTCTGGTTTTACGAGCATCAAACTATTTAAATGTCAAGAAATTGTAGTACAGTATTAATAATAACAGGGATAAAAAATACAAACCCATAATGTAATATCACAACAATGACCACTGACAGTCTGTTCCCAGATACCTTAACCTATACTTCTCAATCGCCTTGACAAAGTCCCTCACATACAAATTCAATTCTTCAAAACTTTTATTGTGCATAGACATATACTTGCAGAAGCATCAACATACACTCACATTATCATTAAAAGTGGAAGTGTATTATTTCTCTTCTCATGTGGACACATATTTTTACACTGATCAGCATAGTTAGGTAATTTCTTCAGTATAGCAACCATATCTTACAATAAATTTTATTTAGTAAGACGTCCACTTGAGGGAGAGCTCTGACTAGAAAAATGATGGGCAACATAATGTCAGCTGAGGTTATATCATGAGAGCAGCAGCTGAAGATTTAAACAGATTTTTTAAGTTATTTGATCAGCTTGTCGTCTTGAAGGATGTAATTTTTGTGAGTTCTGGAGTAAGGAGAACAAACCAGTAAGAGGAATGCATACAGTGTAATGTCCAAATGTTCTTTCATCTCAAATATAGTACTGTATTCATAATGAAAATAATTTAAGGTTGTATTACAACTAAGCTCTAGAAATTGTAATTTATTTCAAAGTACAGTAATCAATAATTTGGATTTAAATAAGGAACCAATGTTCTGGCATTCAAATTATTTAATTATTAAATATACCATCTGGTATAACTGCATTTGCATAAGTACACTATTAAAACCACATGTCCCTTTATGAAATAGACTGTGTCAAACAAGATTTCTTGGTGCAAGATTACATCATATCTATTTTGCAAAGCAAATGCTTCACCTTCTTCTTCTACAAGATCTAATCTTCTTAAAACACGTTCTTTTGAAGAACTCAAACACAATGGATTAATAATGCAACATACAAGTAAGGCTTGTATGTATGAAAAACTACTGCATTCACTACTATGGCCTGAGCTGCCTTCTCCTCAGCAAAATCCATACCAGAAATTTATCTCAGCTTAGACAAGTTACACATACTGGAAATATGAAGTACAATTTAAGATGCCATTTGTTAATTCTCACCACTGTGCAAAAATTATGGGATTGTGATCATTTTCATGTGCAGCCTTAAAGTACAAAGTGGTATCTGTGCTGGCCCCGATTTAGTCCACAATGAATACAATGCAACATGTAGATAAAACAGCCAATCTAAGCCCTAATTTTCCCCTTCAATAAGACACAAGTCACTCAAAATATAAGACAAAGCCTAATGAGGGAATGACAGCTGGACTGGCTATTTTGGTTACAAATGTTCATGATACAAACATTAAACAGCTGTCATTTTGGTAACAGAGATTGCTAAATCTGAGTTCTATTCTTGAAATGAATGGATTGGAGCATTAAATCTTAAACTCAATAATTGTTTTTAATATAAACTTTTTATGACTATCAATTATAGCAAGTTTAATATCATGATGAATGAGGATTCAATCTAGAATCCTTAAAAATACTGGTATTAATTACCCTGTAAATATACATCACAGGATACACAACAATATAACTTTTTACAATACTGTATAGGCTTTTAAAATAGAATCTTATTACCACAACCAATTTTATTCTTAGCAATCTACCTTAATGCCTTATTGATAAATTATACTTATAATGCTCCAAACCAACAAATTTAGCACCTATAAGCAGTAGCATTGACGCTTCCCGACAATGTAGCACAAAGTAAAATGTCGAGGTCCAACATGCCCTGCCATTTTGAGGGGATGGGGTAGGATGGGCTCATGATCACTCTGCTGCGGTAGGAGATACCTATGTCCACAGTGAAACTTGCAGCTCGAACCCATCATGATACTCGTACGTTTTGTCATCAAATTCCATTCTTAACTGCATAGGATGACTTGACCCTAATGTGATTTGGTTTCATTATATATTTATCACAATTATCACACAATTTTTGTATTCTTACATATTGTAATCTAATTTTAATATGAATCAGTAATTTCGATCTGGAATATTAATTAAGTACTCGTACATTTGGGTTTACTGTACTGTACGAGAGCAGCTTAAAAAATTTTCCTTTACTCATCTCTTAACATTAATTCATGGTTATGTATGAGTATTTCTCAGTTCAATACATTACTAATAATTGTTTCTCACCGACTTTAATGAAAACATTTTCAAGTGGCCCAAAGAAAAATTTTGTTTTCTGATCAGTCATAGGATAATCCTAATAGACTCCAAACTGGCCAAATCCTACCATTAGGACTGATGCTCAGGTCTAAAGGGCCTCAATCCTTATGGTTAGATGTGGTTGGGCCTATTAGCACTATGGCCGAATGGAGCCGCAAACTTCTGATGTTTACACACAAAAACTTATTACTTACAGTAGAGCCTTCATTGAATGTGTTACTTTCTTGTATAAATACAGTACAACAATAACATTTTCCATTATAAAAGAAATCAATCTTTCCAATTAAATGTTACTGCTATGGGACATTATAATTATATTTTCCAGTATTTTTAAAACTAGATTTCCAGTCAAAATCAGCATGTGCGGTTTAATTAAGAAGTTTTAGAACAAGGCCACTGACGTAAACTAACCTGGTCAACATATGCCAATAATATTGATGGCGTTCATCATATTCCTCAACGACACACGACCTTATAAAACCGACGATAAAAACGTTAAATATTTTTGTCACTTAATTTCTTATGATGAAGATAATGCGTTCATAGGTTTGTCACTTTTCACCTTAATACCATTAATAGTAGCTAGTCACTTCAAAAATACCTGTTATCAGTTTCCAGGCTTGATTATTTTTTTCATTTAATCCCAATTTGCACTTTATCATACTAGTAATATTTAGTCAAAAGGCAACATGGATAAATTTCAGACAACAAACTGAAACTTCTGCACAAGTGACTAACAGTATCAAAATTTTGGCTTAATCCCAACATCCATTATTGTTCTTGAGGGGATGTGGGGAAGGCTGGAACCCATATCACCATGGATGTGCTCTTAATAATAATAATAATAATAATAATAATAATAATAATAATAATAATAATAATAATAATAATAAAAATATTAATAATAAAAATAAAAATAATAATAATAATCATCATCATCATCCCAAAAAATTACTTTTCTACACTTATAGATCACTCAAGAAAATTAAAGCAAACAAAGTTACAAAAGTGAATTTCCTTATTTCTTAGAATTGTTCCAACAAAATTACACTTGTCACCCATCCCCTTCCTTTTCAATGTATTTCATATAACCCTACAGGTGCAATATGTCAGTGCAGCTGTGTAAAAGCATATGATGTTGAACAACAATCTAGAGTTCAATAATTAACCTTAGGGATCAGCCATGCATAAGTCCTCTTTCAGCAGTTAATATCATCTCTCCCTAAGGCATATTACGAACCATAACATGACATGCAACAATGACTAGCTCTGGCTGTGGTGTTTGTTTGTAAATATCTATGTAAATACAGTAAGCAAACAAGTACAGTACATTAAACTGATTTATCAATTGTGGTCCTAACAAACACAAAAACTTTGTTAATTAGGCTATATATTGCCAATATCAGTTGGGAACACTATAGGTATTAATTCATGGGTGCTGGGGTTATGTGCACCAATTAGAGAAAATAAAATACATGTGCTTTAATAAAGACGAATTTAAAAAATAATAATACACATAAATATAACAACGGGAGGTTTCTAATGGCTGATAGGAGCAGGCACATTGATTAACAATGACAAAATATTTACGAGATATTGGTGGTATCCTGAATGCTTACCCAATTCATTTACATTTCAAATACTTTTAACGAGGTACAAATGAAAACACCAAGTGGTCTATAAAGCAAAAACTTAAAATACTGATAAATTCTAGATGTAACTTGTACTACGCAAGACTGGCTTCACACCGTGAAGCATATTAGGTGTACTGTACTGCCTCAGTAGTCTTCAACAATAATGACATTCTACCGGCTTTGAGATTCCTTTCATCATATTTACAAGAACGGATATGTAAGTAAAGTAATATACAAAACATCCAAATACAATAATCTTCCTGATAACTATTGCTGATGGTGGGACAAAACCTTACATAGACAGCGGCATCTCGATCATCAAGAACTCTATTCGCATTAACTGCATAAATCTCAAGAATCAAATTTCGTATATTATAAATTATACCCCAAAAATCTGACATCCTGCATGACAATAACAAGGATTAATTAAGTGTAGATGATCAAGACATTGCAATAATAAACAAATGAGGCACTTGAAAAGAATCCCTTCGAGGACGTCGATAAATAGTTCGGCACGGCAAATACCGGTAACCATAAAAAATTATCGAAAGTAAATAAATAAACAATTGCATTCAAAGAGTCAAGCAAAAAATATTCAATGAAGAAAACTTTGACATATCCCAGTTTCTCAGCTGTCTGCAGTATAATATTTGAACACTGAAGAAATATTTTTGGTCCTCACTTAAATTACAAAGAACATACACTCAGACCTTTAAGCCATACCACATTGTCAGAGCAATAAAGTCTGTATCAGCCATGATTCAAAGTGAAGAACTTAACACTCAAAATAACCTGCAACTGATAACTCATATCAACAACAAGTTAATAGTCCTTGGGCAAAGTGAAGCTCCAAATTTATGAAAACATCTACATCTAAGTCACTTCAAGTGATAAAATATTCCATTTCTAATTTCTTTCAATACCTGTATCTACAAGTCCTTGTTTGTGCAGGAGCTTTAGATACTGGGATACTAACTACAATACAGGATACACTAACTATAATACAACTCGGTTACTAAATAAATAACAACAGAAATATACCATATACTGTAATTATAAATTACACCAAACACACGTTATATAAGAAAGATCGTTAAGGAAAATAGTTCGTCAAGAAAGCTGAGCGTACGAAACTTTAAATGTTTTGGTAAAAGTTAAATATAGTCTTTGGAATAACAAAAACATAGCTGGGATGGCAATATATCATCTCCTTTTAGACTCATTACAAAAAGGATAAATATCTAAGTTATTACTGGAGAGGATCGGAATTTGATAATGTCCACAACTTGCAAAACCTAACGAACACCACAACCTGCACAGGCACTGAATATTAACATTAATAAATACATTAATAATAACTGGGATAAATGGGCTAGAATTGGACAATAGCTACGAGTTACGACCAACAATATTTTCTGTCTCCGTCTCGACAGATGGAACTTTGGTGGCTTTTACTTCGCTGTTAGGCGTGTTAACCGATGTTGTGGGCCTCTTGCCGTCTGCTATACTTAAACCAGGGGGTGCTTGATGATCCGTTGATACTCCAACTGAATCTAGGATGCCCTTAAACTGTTGAAGTGTTTTTCGTAAGGTGATACAAAAGCCTTTTGAAGCTGGAATTAGGGGAAACTCGGGCAAATCAACTTTGGTATCTGTGGGAGACAAATAAATTCATCAAAATTATATCCAGTTAAATAAACTTTAATACCTGCGTGATCATAAAATATTCTTAGACTTCAGGTTTGATTGTTTGGAGGAGCAGATTTTGGTTGGGTTAGGAATATTAGTGTTTGTTTAATTAAATTTAGTGTCTAATAATGCTCAGAAATTAAATGATAGATAAGTGTTTATTGTGAGCAGGACCAACCATTTAGTGAATTCATAATTGGTGGATGAGTGAGATAGAGAAAGATTAGTTTACATTTGTTTTTAAAATTAAACTTACCGTATTGCCGTGTGTGAATTTCATGTACGCCCCATGGAGTTCCTGTAATAAATTGCACCCGTGACCATAACAATACAACTGATAGTGTTGACAAAGATATGGAATACAGTACTGAAAAATTTTAAAAAGAAAGAAAGAAATGTTTTAATACCTGGATTATGTATCTCTCTGAAGGTGGTGGGAGTCGTTGGTGAAAGAGGGTGACAAATATTATAGTTTTCTGATATCTCAAGCCAGCACTCCAGCCTCTGCACTTGTCTGCAAAGAAATTATTGTCACTAAACCTTTACCTGTACTGTACAGTTCTAATATCAACATTTACAGCAACATGGTAGATGGAGAACCTTCTATGACAGCCTGGCCATGGACAGTCCTGAAAAAAGTATCATTACCTTTCTGTGTTTACAATTTGAAATGGTGGACGAAATGCTTTGATATATTCTCCAGTCCATTGTATCATGTTGATATGCCTGGTTCCCATGTTGGTAACAACAATGTAATAAACAAACAGATAAAGATGCAAGAAAAGATGGCAAAATATTGATATAGCAATATCAGAAAGATTGAGCTGGATAGAAGAATACTGTATGTGAAAAACAAGTGACTAGGACAGCACTTAATATTTACCAAAAGATGATTAACAGGTACAGTCTCCTTCAAGATCCTTCTAACACTGCTGGAGACAGCTGGCAACTCAAGGCCGTTTGTTTACTATAGTACATAGTATAATATAATACGAAACAACAAAGCCCAACCATTAAATTAAGAAACGGGGAACTAAATTACCAATCGCCGATCCCTTTTACATTTATTCATAATTTTTACTGCGTACTATAGTAAACAGACGGCCTTGAGTTGCCAGCTGTCCCCAGCAGAGTTCGAAGAATCTTGAACGAGACTGTACATCATGAAAATATGAAGGTCAAAAAAAGATAATGGTTTCCACTGAAAAGTGTGTTTTTCTACTAGCAGCTGATAGGGTAAGGGATGCAACGTGATACAGAGTTACGGTATTCTGTGAGGGAAAGACTATGACAGAGTACTACAGTATGTTGATGACTTATTACTGAACAGGATTTTTTTTCCAGGTGTATGATGTGAATCAGTATCACAATACTATACTGTACATGTGGATAGTAAATGTTTGTTAAGAAAAAATATATATATATATATACAGTATTGCTTTCTGATATTAAATGCAAGGGACCAATAAAACTTACCTAAAAGCTTTCACATGAAAATGATGAATTATTTCATTTTTAAAGATGTCTGGGGGCGCCTGAATCACTTTAGCCATTGCCTGAATTAGTTTGAGGACTACCATTTCGTTGTACATGCGAGAGTTTTCTCGTCCCTGCTGTGTGCCTTTCTGACGCTCATACCCGGCTTCATTGAAGTATGGTTCACTCACCAGGATCAAACCTAAGGGAAGAAAACAATTACAAAATATACAGTAAATCCTCTCAATAATGGAATTGTGATAATCGGTATTGGGAATGGATTCTGGTGAGAAAAGTCTAAAATTCCGTTTTAGCATAACCCTTTCCACAACCCACATGCATAGTTGTTTACATGAAACTGCCTGAGTGCCCACTAGTAGTCACCCTTTCACACCAACACTTCTACTGATGAGCTGCATAAGAGAAAGGTTGTCATTGGCTGCCTCATTACCCCTCACCCTCACCTCCCCAACATCATTAGTCTCTCTCTTTCTCTGTATGAATGTGTTAATACAATCTGCATATTACTGCATCATTTTTATGGACTTAACATATACTTTATAAACATTTCACTACTCTGCCTAAAGTGTTGCATAAGAGTGGTAAGAGGTTGGGAAAGGTGTAAACATATTGATGTGAACAAAGAGCTTGAAATCTTAGAAAACTCACTAAAAAAGTGCCGGTGAAAGATGTAAAATATAGAAAGGAAATATTAATGAAGCATGTTGCATGGACAGTGTCCAACTTATCGAGCAAGTGTACAGTACTGTACCTGTATTAATTTTGTAGTGCAATTAATTAATTTTGTACAGTACTGAAGTGAATTTATTACAATACATTATTGTAATGTGAAGACATGTATTTGGGATCTGTTTGTGTATATTATAGTACAGTATTACAGTACTAACTTTGGGAATACAGTACAGTACATTACTTTACTGTATTGTTTTATTTTTTCGGGAGATGTGGTATTGTTTTACGAGAACTTAACAGAATGTTAGTAGTTCAAGAAAACAGAATTTTTATGATATTTAGAGTATACAGATATCTCTGGTTACTGGAAGTATCCGAGAGGATTTAATGACCTGTACAGTATATAAAATGGATATGGATATTCACAAGTCACAATTTACCATTCTAATTATATGCTACACCCCAATCTGGCTCATCAACTAAGAAGCAGCAGGACGTTGTCATAATAATAATAATAATAATAATAATAATAATAATAATAATAATAACAACAAAATAAAAACGAATGTCGTAAAGGTATGAAGATATAAGACTGAGTTGGTTGGTTTGTGATATTAAGATGGTCAACAGATGCTTAAATTTTACTTTGAAAAATTAATCTACCCCTCAAGATATATCAAGATTTTATTATGGGGCAGGAAGAGGGTTGTGATACGATCGTGCAGCGAATGAGACACATCTTACAGGGAGACAAACTGATGGACAGCATCACTGAGTAAGGACAAAAGGGGAAGACCTTGAGTAAGACTAAGAATAGGTACATTGGAGAAACTGAAGAGAAGGTCATATAAGGAACAGCAGTATTGTTATTAGGATAAAAAGGATAGTGTGGAAGGCTGAAACCTGTAACTATGCAGAAAAACAATGAAGAGATCCAGGACACTGCTGCCCTAAAATGTCATACACTTAGTACTAACCCTGTATTGATATGATGACTTGGAGGAGGTTACTCTGGCTGGTCCACACTTCCGTGCCTTTGCCACTCCAGGTGCCAAGAAGAGATACACACACCTACAAATGAGGAAACGCAACCAATTCAATTTATGTAGAGAAACTCATATCAAGTAAATAATTTAAAAAGCATTACACAAAAATAAAATGCATTGCTAAATCTTTTTTCATATAATTTGGATTACGGGTATATAAAAAAAAAAAAAAAAATAGAAGTCACAAAGAATAAACTCAAAGGAAACCTATCTTTCAATTGATGACAACAGAGATTCCTCCTTCATCAAACATAATGTACAGAAATCTTTTAATGTCACGTCCAGTTTAAGAGAAACAATACTTAACTTTACATTCAAAATCTTCAGTCTTGCTGAAACATTTTGATTTACCAAATTAACCAACAGATACACTTGAGGCTTCCCCAAGACTTACCTTACCATCCTCATAAAGGTTTGGATTGAGTTTGTCAGAGCAATAAGTAACATAGTGACATAGTGGAGGAGCACGGGGGTAATCTGCTGAAAGTTGAAAGTCAAAAAAGAAGAGGCCATCTTCATATGGAGTTCGCTCTGGTCCTCGAATCATAACAGAGTACAGGTCCTGTCATAAAATAAACATCGATAAGCACTGCTTTATTTCAGGCTCTCAATTTAGTGAGTCTTAATATTAGTCAATATAAAGCATGCTTACAGAAATATGACATTCCCTCAAATACTGTTCTGTAACTTAAAAAATATAATAATAATACAACTATACTGTATAATAAAATAAAAGCAGTATAAAATTTTATAATAATTAAAAATAGACTCACAGTTGAATTTGTTTAACACGGCCCCCGGTGGAACAAAATTAACTTGAAAATCTCCTCAGGGTATATAAACAAACCTATAAACTTGACAACCCTACAATGAATACCTTTCAAAACAGTCTTGGGCCAGGTGTATAGAAATTCCTTACTTGTATAAAAGATAACATATCAACCAACTGGAGCAGTCTATTCCATCATCTCCATCCTCATCTTTTAAAGGTTAAGTGTCTCTTAACTTCCATAATTCACAAGTATTCAATTAAATTTCTGTACCAGGTTAGTTCATCAAGTAAGACGTGAAACTTCATTCATGCATCCATGGTACAGTTCATGCCACTTATAAGCCACAGAGTGGTAGCCTCAAAACCTCTCTTCCCCACCTCCCGAAACATACAAACCAGGCAATTAATCGGTGGTCAGCCAAGCTGTAAAGTCACCTGATGCTTCTAACATTTCCTCTTTCTACAGTGTTCTTAAGAAACACAGAAAAAATAATAAACCAAATAATGACCTGAGAAGAAAATTTTCTGCATTGCACATTTGCTGGGACATTCCTTTGTTTTTGGTAGTCTATAGACAATTATACAGTCCAATATCAGATAAGCTGCAATCAATAATGCTATCACAACACACACACATATACTCCACTCATCTATGAGAGCATCTGGGAGGGCACACATTATTTGTGTTGAAATTCCAATGTCCAACTCCCGGCCACATTGAATTTATTGTTATATAATCTCCACAGAGACTCTGTTTTCCTGATCTTTAATAGCATTCAAGAACTTCAGTCAAACAAGAACTTCAGTTAACAAAAGCTGCAGTCAAACAAGGGGTTCAATCAAACAAGAGTTTCAGCCAAACAAAGGCTTAAGTCAATAAGAGAGCTTCATTTTTCTTTAAATATGTGAGTTTACACCAAAGTGGATGACATTATTCACATCTAAATTAAAGTTGTAAACTACAGGAATAAGAAAATTCAAACATACCAAAACTGTGGTTATACCTAGAGATGAATTTTCACTGTGGCAAAAATATAAATAAATCAACTGTGAGCAAAAACCTACCATCCTGTCCTCGTAGCCCCTGACCCAGATGCCTGGTGGAAGGGAAGTTTTCAATAGTTTCATCTCTTTGCGAACTGTTCTGTAGAAATGTGGGGGATCGGTTGGCTGGAACATTGTCAGTTTAAACTTATGACTATCAGGTGCAGCTTCCAAAACCAAGAAACCTGAAAAGAACCAATACAATTCTTACTATATATTGTGCCCATCACAATGAAATAACTAACAACACAGATTCAACAAGTCTGATTTAACTTGCATCACAACACTGCTTCTGAAGAGGAACAAGAAAGTGTAAAGAAAGGAAGAGGATATACTGATACAGTATTAACATATGCATTATATACACAGTGGAAAAAAAAAAAGGTAAATAGTGTAAGACTGAAATACGAAATCCAATTTTATGGTTCAGGGGAAGAAAAATATGACTTGTGAAACCAGCACCAGCTAAACATCTCCTGGTCAAGCCTGCCTCTGATACAGGACATGGCATGTTTAATCACAGGTTCTCTATCTGCATGGATAAAGTTTTCACTGAAATGCAGTATTGTAACTCAACTGAAGCAGGGCTGAAGTTCAGATCCCATTTGATCCAATGATTATTTCAAGGACTCAATGAAGCTTAAGGTTACTGTATAGAATATTTGAGTTAACTATTAGAATCCCATGTTCTAAACCCCTTTGGAAATAAAAATTATTTCATACAAGTCCTATGATCCTGTCTCGTTATCAAATTTACTTCCTTGTGGGAAGTAACCAGGTTACTTGTTTCTTCCTTGTCATAATAAAATGGGACATCATAATTTAATCTTTCAACATTTAGACAACTGCAAGTTTTTAAACCAACTAAGCTATGTTGAGCTATCAAATGATGGGTGATAAGCAAACCCCAACTTTAACACAAACTGCAATGATACATACTGTATAACAAATGCAATGAGTCGCAGTAGTGTGGATACATACTGTACAGATCTTGTCTGCTGGTTGGATCAGTCAGATGAACCCGGCTGTGCTGTCTATGCAGCTGAACCTGTAACTCTTATATCTTTTACTGAAAAATCTCTTTGTTTTGTTTTTGCACTACCAGATACTGCTTCTAATGATCTACAACATATATAAATTGTCAAGTACGAATGACCATTTTTTCTTTAGGATGCAATGACAGGCACTCATGCTATACATTGGTTGATAACTATTCCCAAAAGAGAAATATGACTTGAACAATTCTACATTCACAATTCAATGATTAATGGTAAAGGGTGTGAAAATGATGGAGACATAATGGGTTGGAAGATCTGTTCCATTCAATACTGTTAAAGATGCAAAACATATAGTAGTTAAAAATATAATTATGTTGGGAGAGATGTTATACCCATCACACCTGAATTTTGTATGTTCAGGAATTCAAACTTGGCATGACACTTATTTTTAGACCCAAAAGAACCATCTTTTTTATGCCATGCATGCATGCACCCCCTCACACATAGACACAGACACATACACATTCGTTTGTAAACCAGTATCATGCCAACTTTGAATCCCTAAATTGACCTCTTAATAACAGAGTAAAGTTGACTTAGATAATAATCAGTGCAAATATTTTTTTTTAAGTTAATTCCAATATTAAACAAAACTATGAGCTCATTCTACATATCTCTTAAAAAATTAAGGGAATATTAAAGCTACTGTACTAATTAAGCTTCTATATGAAATAATACAAATATGAGAGGTATAAGGGGGGGGATGGAAAGATTTCCGAATATTAATTACCTGACTGCATAAGAACTCAACTTTGAGCAGGTTTGAAGAGACATCATCATTGAAAACAGAAATTACCGGGTAAGAGTTTATAATACAGTACTGTACAATCAAGCCAATGAAAGGTGATATGTACAGTATACTACAGTCTACTAGCCCAAGCTGCTACTCCATGAAACCACAATGAATAATTCTCACCGTCTGGCTCAGAGCTGGGAAGACAGTTCCCAAGTGCTTGTCCACAACCTAGGAAAGCAGCATGTGGAAAAGGTCTGCATTAAACTTTCTATTACACTAAGCATAACAAAAACTTACTCATATTAACTACAATATTTCAGTATACAATACAATACTGATTATTATTACACAGCAAGTATGTATGTTAGGTATATTCGTAGACAACTGTAATATTAATAAAAAAAGATAAATAAAACAAAAATTCTTCTTATGGTATTGTCTTCACCTGTACTCAAAGCAGAATGGAGATGCATGAAGTAGAACCTTTTTCAGGGTTACCAGAATTTTGCAAACAGTACTGTATTGCTTAGCTACGTGTACCTAATAGATGACACAGACTATATACCGAGTCATCACAATTAATGTAACTTCTTTAACACTAGAAAAAATACAATACAGGTATATAATTTGTAAATTGACTTGAAAAAAAAAAATATAAGCTGTATCAGAAGGTAATCACTCAAGATGCATTCCTGAAGAGAGAACTTTTGGTAAATCACCTGACAACAAAGCCATTGTAACTTACTGTATAGTATTTGATATGGAGATGCCTTCCTAACAACATTATTTATTACCTTTGAGTGATACATGATGGCTCGATTCGACTACTTGTGCACTTAAGAGAACTGATTAATGAATAAATCACGGAATATGCACTCATAGTACACTATACATTATTATTTATTTACACTACAATATTATTTACTAAGTGCTGAAGACAGATGTTGTGATAAGAATGGGAGATCAAGAAAACTATTAACATGGTGAAGGAGAGTGAGAGTGATCAGCTGTTCACATTTTGTTAACAAGGAATTTAATATCTTACAATGACTCTTCTAGGGTTGAGTGTGGGAATTTTTTGGGGAGAAGGCTGATTATTTTATGATAATGTTATATCAACCCGCCACCAAACGAACGTAAATAACATAAGAATTATGGTGAACTTGCATAAAGATGTGTTAAAACAGTCCTGAAGGAGGGAGCCACCCACCTGCACTATCTCCTGCCTACAGAAATGTGTTGTGTTTTAGAATGCCTGAAACAACTATGCAACACTATAATGTGAATGTATCCACAAAATGAACCCTAACCGATAATTTATTAGTGCAAATGATAAACAGCAGTACAAAGCGGTTTACTTTTACTGAAATAAGTAAAGTATGCCAATGAAACAAATCATTCAGCACTTACGTGACTTAAAATATAAAGAGTGCTCACCTTTTACTACATTCAACACTCACCTTCTGTTGGACTAATTGCAATTTCTGGACCACAGGTTTCAGTGGCAGCAGCAGTAACCTCTCCATTGACTGCTTCTACAAGACTAGCTAAAATGGCGTCAACAAGCTCGTCATTCCTCGAATCTTCTGAGGATACGTTTCTGTTGCTGATTTCACTATCATTCCCATTATTAGTTATTATGCTGCCATTTGTTGTTGGTGATGAAGTTACAGCTGGAGAAATATATGAAGGAGACAGTTCTGAAGCATCTTCAAAGTCATTCTTCAGATCATTTTCATCCTCTTTATTTTCTTTTTTCTCTTCTTTCTCTAATACTAAAGCTTCTGTCGTTGGCTTCACAAATTGCTGAATCCCCTGCAAAGAAAATACAACTATAACATTACACTTTTAATAGTATTGAATTAATAAATTATTGTCAAATATGTAAAAAAGTTCCTGCTGACTGAGTAACCTATAAATAAGAATTCAGTTTTTCAAGCTTCGTGTTTCAAGGTATGAAAACTCAATGAGTGAACTTCTATTTGATTTAATGAGCTCACAGTATAAATCTTGAAGCGGGGTTTGTCATGCTTTGTCCTTGGCTGAGTGGCCAGCTGGGCTATTGCACTCTCAGACTTGTTTTCTATAGTCTGGAGTGAAGTCGGTACAAACCTGCCTAACGAATGAGCCTACTAGACTTGTTTTTTGGGGTGCAGTTGTGTTGACTACATTACTGTCATCACTCAGAATGCATTGTGGCTTCTAACCACTTTAATTGTCTCAAAACAAACAAATAAGTGATGGTAGTGAGTGCAGTAGTACAAAAAGAACACAAAGTGTTGAAGGAAAAGTGGAAATGCAGTCCATGACCAGAATGGTACAGCAACCACAACAATTTATAACTTAAAGAAGAAACCTCTTAAGTAATTAGGATACAATATAAAAATAAATAATGAGTAGATAAAATAAGACTGTAGTATTTTGATCTCCATATAAAACTTAGTGGCCTGACTGGCAGTGGGTGACCGACATTGTTTACTGCTCACAAGATGATTGTACTGTAATTACAGAATTTGCTGGTACTTAAAAAAATGCTATAGATAAATTCAATTTAAATACCATTAAACAGCTTTAGTCTTTGTATTACAATATGCGGTAAACTGATGAGATTGTAAGTACTGTACAGTATACGTTTTTGTTTCCTGCCTCCATCTAAACATTCTGCGAGCTGACACATAAGTAGTGTTTTCATTATCTCTATCTGCTTAATAAATCCAGCACTGAAAATTTCTTGATGACAATCTTTTGTATGTCTGAGGATTATTTCCTGTAACTCAAATACGTATGTGATCTCACCTGTGCCAGAGATTCAGTTGTTGTGTTTTCATTAACAAGATCTTCAGCAATGAATATAGGAATGTTTTCTTTATTTTCACTCTGCAAGTTCTCCTTGTTCTCTCCATGAGCTCCTTCAGTGTCCTGCAGCACGAAAGGATAAGGGTATTGTTGTTTAATTTCCATCTCATATTTCGTATAGAATTAAATTAACAAAACACAGAAATAATTTATGCCCAACCAGCAATGTTCTCACCTGACATGCCTGCATGAGACTCATGTCAAAATGTCCACCAAAACGGAAAACAACTTCCTCATAAGTCTTTAACAGCTGAGCCTTCATGAGTGAGCAGAGTTGGGCACACATGTGGGATGTTCGGATTTCTTCTGTTACACCACTCAGAGTCTCAGATGATACCTGAAAAGACAGAAGAGTATGTCGAGTTACTTGTTATTGATAACCTGATGATTCATTTTAACAACCTTTCAACTATTTGGTTGCCCATATTATTCAGCCGGCCAAGATCATGGCTAAATCTTACAAGATTTAGTTATATATACACGGGGAGAATACTGTGGGGGAATTAATCTATATGGCATTCAGAGATAAGAATACTGTAGGCGACAAGACACATAAACAAACATACAGACAAACTTATGCATACCTACACTACAACTGATATTTTGTCATATAGCAACAATATTTAGAGTTGGAACAATATATCACAAACATTCTTTTATTGATGATGGTCTTCTGAAGCCCTACTGAAAGATAGATGAAGATGTGAAAATGATGGGCAGCCAAATATTTACCAAAGTCTGCCTATGTCATTCTGTCCAGTGTGGGAGGAATACAGTATACTCTCTCTATACTGAATCCCTTCTCAGATTCCAGTAGAATCTCTCTATTCCAAATGAATCTGCCATACAGTATACTGAACCCCTCCTCAAAAATTCAAATATAATATAATTTTCTAATGTGTCTTTGAAAATATAATACAAACACTATAAAATAAGAAAAATGAGTAGGAGGAAGTTAATTCAGTGTGGGAGAGGCAGATTGCTGGCTGGACCGCTTTAAAACGACAGTAGCTATGTAATTTCACCATAATTCTCATCTTATTTATGTTAATTTACTTCCGGGTTAATAAAATAATAATGTAAATTAATCAGTTTCCCCCCAAAAAACTATCCCACACTCAACCCCAGATGAATTAATATGTCCTATTAAATTCCTGATGCCTTATTTACATATATGAACAGCTGACCATCCAGCCATTGAGTCAGGGAGGCTGTTTATGTAATACAGAACTACATATTTGTACAATGTGTGTTACTGTACTTTCTGAGGTATTATGTATGATATTTAGTGTTTATTGAAGTCTTGAGTAACCAAACCTTATCTTATTATAAAAAGATTCTGAAAAAGTACTGACTCTATCCAAGCTAAAAATAACAAACTTTTTCACATACTATACCAAACAAAGTTCAGCATGGAGAGAGTTTTTTGGAATCATTTTATACCGAAAAACTCCCTATACCGAACTGGCTGCTCAACAATTATTTTGGTAGAGAAAAGTAATACAGTAAGTCAAGAAAACATCAGCAGAAGCTTATTGTAGTTACAGTACCTCTAATATTATTTTTTTCCAAGTTAACGTACCTTCAGATCATTACAACTCTTGGAGTCCTTTAAACGTGAGTCGGAATATGTCTTATCATGAAGGGTCATATCAGTCTCACTCATCCTCTTGTGGCGCAGTTCCCCTCCCCTACTACGCCCTCCATCAAGCAGCTTGTCTGACTTACTGGCTTTACTGAAAAATGGAATCATAAAAACATAAATACTGAGACATATCAATGGGGATATTTAAAGTAATTTATATATGTACATCTCAAGTACCTATCATGTCTTTTCTTTGTATTGCATCCCAAGTTCATAATTCGTTCCCATACAGTCATGTCTACTCTTATGATTCCTCTGTATGTTTTCATTTTATATTTCTTTAACACATTTCTCTCCTTAAATCATTTCTCAATCCATCCCTTATTTTCCTCACATCACCATAATGTACTGCTGGATGTATTCTACTCATATTGTCTCAACATTTTCTTCAAACAAAATTGTGATATGATTTATTTGTGAGACCATGATTTATGATGGACAATGATCTGTTAACATAAAACAGACACTTATTCTTTATATTTTTTGGTAATTCTTTAATACCATACAAGCATTTACAATTTATCATCACAAAGATTTTTATTGATTAACAACCTTCTTCTCTGAATTTAATTTCTACCTTGTCTCCTTCTTTTAGTTTTAGCTGTATGTTCATATCACAAAAGCATAATATACACTGTTACCCAACCTGTTCCCTTTTACAACTGCTCAGGAGTTCAATATTTTGTGCTATCTTCATGTGCCAACCCTCCCTCATGCTTCACGCTTAGGTGCCAATACCAGCAACCCTTTCTCGACTCATAAAATTCACATTTGACATTATTCAATATCTTTTATATGTTTGTACACTATTCCAAGCACTTTTACCCACTGCAATCCTATCAAACTTACATCACTTATATTTAACAGCCTGCAAACTCCTCTTTCCTTCCATTTTTCTATGACCACAAAAGCTGACACCCAGAGCACATTATATTTAGCTACTGCCTACCAACTCAGTTCACAGTTGAAAACATCAATAACTCTTACACTTACTAAACTATTTTTACCAACAAACTGTGACATGTAATTAGACAAACATATTCTGAAAGACACATAGCCTTTGAAATTCTTTTAAATTAATTTCTGAACATTCTAACTACTACAGTAGTCAACAATCCGAAGTATAATATAAAGGTGAACTATTATTTCTGCCCAGTGCTAGTTGATGTATGAATGCAGCCATTATGTCTCCTATTTACCATAATTAATTCTTCTTTTTCATCACATTATCAACCTGCCTATAACATAGGATACAAAAAAAAAAAAAAAAATCCAAACCTGTTATATTCAATTTGCAAAAATCAGATTTATATTTAAAAAAATAATTAATATCGATAAATTGATACAAACCACTGAGACAAGCTGAGGTTTGCCAAATTTTCTGACAATGTTGCAGAGCTGCTTAGTATAGCATTTTTGGAGGACAAGATGTCACTGTCTGCATTGCAACAGCCCCCACATTCTTTGCTATTCTTGATATCCTTATTGCTTGGATTACCTTTATTAGATTTTGCTATATCAAGTTTCAAAGCATCAGATTTTCCAGCATCAGGTTTACTTTCTTCTCCACAGTTCACTGGTGAATTGAGTGGACCAGCTTCAGTGTCTGAAGTTGAAAAGAGGCGGTTGATCTGTTCTGTCATACGCTGGGTGGTAGATGCTCGACCGCGTTCACGAACTTTCTCTATGAGGCCCTGAAAATTACTTTCATGGAAGAAACTAGTTCCCATCAGCTTGTCCATGTATCTAGAAAGAGAGGTCAAACTAAAATAGTGTACATACATATGGTGGATTGATAAAATATTGCAAGCAAAGGAAGAGAATTTGTGTATTGTTCCATTTCTTTGCATTTTTAATACAGTATTGTTATTTTCATTACAAAACTCTTATGTATCACCAAAGCTGCCTATCTATTCTGTTCCTACCTTCAACTGTATTATCTCACGTACTGCATTTCACTCCTCTTACCACAAGCACATCCATGTAATCAAACTTTCATCAGGGTTGACAAAAACCACTTTTTTGTTTTTGTTTTAATGCTATTATGTTGGTTTTCATAAGTTTTAAGCAATTTTAGCCCTTTAAATAACTTTTTAATATGCTATTAATCATAAACATTACATATAGGATGATTTAGCAATCATCTATACTCTTTTCCGTCTAAAAAAATCACCGTGAAAGGCCCAATATTTGTCAAACACAAGCTTTGATCAGTCACCCGGACTCATCCTACTTGTTTAAAGACAAAAACTAAGTTTAAGTTCATCTTAATGCATGGAAAACTATTCTACTTTTACAGCTGAAAGTTTAAAGAATTCATTAAAGTATAGCTGGAGAGAGAGAGAGAGAGATGGGCAGTGACAACTTGGCTCCCCTGGACCAGTATTATACGTGATCTGAACAAATTAGAGTCAGCGTCTTAAGAGCCCAACCATTAACAGGTCTGGCTTAACAATAAATGGCCACACAGCTCTACTAAAAAGCAAAGTTGAACCATCTTGACAGATACACACACTTATGGATACAAACTAATTTTGATTACACAAACACACAAAAACAAGCATACATACACACTCTCTTCATCCTGCTTCCCTGACCAGTAGTTACCTTCAATTTTGTTTCTTTGTCAGTTGCAGTTTTAAGTTATACAACCCATGCAAATGTGGAAAATGATGATGATGGTGAACAGTGTGGTGCTATAATTGCACAGTATTAACATAACAATAATAATAACAGTAATTGATATTTAGTCTATATGACCAAGAATAGCTAAAGAGAGATATCAAATGTTTATTTCCAGTAGGGTCCTTATGTCAACAGCAAATGATGTCCCCAGTTGCTTTGCGTTGCTTAACTTCACTGGTCAGACGAGAAGCAGTCATACTTAATCAACTAGAAAGAAGTCATCAACCACCTACAGAAATTGGACTCTAGTGTCACCTCACCTGCACTCTTTATAACAATCCAAAAGTTGCTTCATGACAGCAGTTGTTTGGAGGGCTGGGTTCTGAGTGAAAATTTCTTCAAGTCTACTCATGGCTATCCGTGCCTTTTCAATGTTGGCCACCAACCTTGTCTTAAGCAATCCCTCACTTTCACTCTCACTTTCTCTGTTAAAAAATCTGAATTAGTATTAGTGTAGCAATTTAATTATTAAAATATGATGATAAATGAGTATAAAGAAACTGTGGGTTTGTAAAATGCCAACATATCAAAATATTTACAGGTTGATCATCCTTTATCCAAAAAATGAGGCTGGTTGCATTTAAATTTTTATAAATTTTTGGGTTTTCAGATATACTGTATAGCCCTAATTCAACTTATTACAGCTGTTGTTTTATTGCATTATTTGTAATAGTTGTGAGTTTAATATACTGCATAGGGGGTCCCAATGAATTGCGGGGGTTACATACAGGTTCAAGTAAGAGCCCATTGTATCTTCACGCTACATAGCATCGTGGTGAAAATGCATGGTTTTCTCCCATCCCAGTTTCCTCACAACTGGATTTTATATGTTAAACCTGTACAGTACTGACATACACACACAGCTTTTCACTTTTCTAAATTAATGATGTAAAGTTTATAGAGTATCTTTATCTTTTTATACAAGATACTGCATATATGTCTTTATGCTCACATACAGTAGGCATTTGGATAAAGGATGCTTGACCTGTAACAGATCTTATTCCTAATAAAACTACATACATTTAATACATATCCAAGTATTATCTATTGCCTAACTGTTGATGCTTATTGCACATTATGTCTAAATGAAATCTTGCAATGGATAATGAAATAATTTAATATTTTTCATTAGAAGGCTTCACAAAGATTCATTCAAATGTAGTTGACAAAAAGTACAGTATGGCTTCCTTTAGCTAACTGTATACATAGTATACATTCATCCTGGTGAGACACCTTCATTTATGAAATGCAAATGGATGTAGCAAGAGGTACAGTATTGGCTAACCAGCTGGCTATGAAGTAAGGTCAAGGATAAAGGCAAGATATGTTGACTAATCTGCTACTTAGGTAGGACTCACAGCCATCATTATAGCTCTGGTAGTGTTTCACTTTGAGCTTAACTCCTGAACAAGTATCTCAGTAGGCTACAGGAATAACCAATACACCACTGGATACCTTACAACAGTCTAAGTGTAACAGCACAAAGAGTAGCACAAACAGCGATTGCATTCTTCTCTTAGATAATACTTGTCACTTAACTATTATGCCCCATGATAAAGGAGGTGCTCTGGTCAATGAGTGATCACCAACCTGTGATCTCAATGTCTGAAGGCTGTAAATAATGGATGTTATAAAGGGCAGCAACACTTACTCTGCAATAACTGAATGTTCACTTTCAGTCTCCCAGGATTCATCTGAGGCCGTGTCATCCCATAATTCACCCTCATCCGAATCATATTCACCAACCTTGTAAAGATCTTGAGGGTAACACACCGACTTCCGTCCATCCACCCACCATACACTCACCTGTATTGGGATCTTACAGTTAGGCGGTGGACCACCACATAAATTACAATGACAATTCACACATATCACACATTTCAGTATTCAATTTAACTGATAGTCTAAAGCTTACATAAAATTTACCAAAGTGATAAGTTTTATAAAAAATTCAATTATGAAAAGTTTGACAAAAAGTAAACCTACTGAATCAAAAATTAAAGTTAATATAAAACTTTTAGGTAAAATTAATTCTTTGTAACACCAACACACAAAAAATCATTAAGTGTAATTTATATCCATAGCAATAAATTAATTTTAATAAAGTAAAAATACTAAAGTTAATCTGTACCTACTTCTCCTGAGGGAAAATTGTCCAGCACTTGTCCAGTGAAACAAGTTTGGTCATTTTCAAAGTTAGCTACCCGTATGACTACTGAGCCAGGGCGATAACGGAAGTCTGGGTGATCCCGCAGGTCATACACACTCATTTCTTGCTCACACAGGAACTGAGGTCTAAAATTAAAAATAAATTTTAAGATGAAAGGTATTAAACTATTCATAATACCTAGGTCACCTCTTCCACTCCACCTAATTGAAAATGAAACACTGATATTATAAGGAATGTAAGACTCTTTCAAAACACATAATGAACAACTTGTTCCACAATATCCCTAACACTGAAGGTGATGTTTGTCCCCCAACCCAAATTTCTAACTCAAACAGGAACCATAAACTCTGATAAATAGCTGAAAATGATGATTCTTAAGAGCTCGCTTAGATACTCTGAACATGAAGCTACCACCTAATATTCTACAGAAGAAAAAAAAAAAAAAAAAAACATATTAAACAATTATCTGGTTTGGCTAATCAAACAGCTTCAAATGTTTATTATCATGACACTAAATGAAATCAAAGCTTCCATAATTAATGCTCAATTTTGGAGCTATATACTGTACTAGCTTTGAAAACAAGCTTCATCCTTTTAAATGAATCATCTTCACAACATATTAAAAAGCTGCTTACCGTGGTTCACTGCCAGCAGTGTAAGTTCTAAACCATTTAACAATGGAAGTCCTTCCCCCATGATCAACCTTCTGAACAACACCATATTCGTGAGGATCAATAGAATCTTTCTGTTCCACTACAAAGTCTCCAGGAAAGAATTCTTGGTCATCTAAGTGGTGGATAGGGTAGAGCACTGTAGAAAGAATGGACTTTTCCAATGTTCCATCCTGCAAAGATAATATATACTGTATTCCCATTAAACATTATCTATTATTCAATATTGAAACACATACTCATGAACTTATATAATTACTTCTCTATTTACTGGTTCAACAACACAAACAGAACATCAGTAGACAGCTTCTATCAAGTTGGTTGACTTATTGAATGTGTCAGCAATATCTTTCTTCCTGTAATTCTCAGGAGCACATCATCCTGCTCATCAGTGTTTTACAGCCATTTTCCTCACTTGCATGAGTTAGATACAATTACCTGATGGTAATCTCCATCCTGCATGGTCTCTTGCAGCCTCCCTTGTCAGTCTTTTTAACTCTAATGTCATTCTTGACCTGCCCCTGCCCCTCATCCCCTCCACATTTAGAATTTGTGTATCTCTTGACCCAGTTAAGTCTCATCCACTCTCTCCACATGACCAAACCATCTCAACTTGCCTCTACGCAAAACTTCACCAACACTCTCAATACCCAGCTGCCCTCTTAGCTCTAAACAAGGTTTCTAGTGCACCCTTCACCTATATCCTTTTCTCCCTCCCCCTGCTGGGTCTTCCTCTTTTGCTTACCATCCACCTGTGAAGTATATGCTCTTTTACTAATCCTTCGTCCCATCCTCTCGGTACCTCCATAACACCTGTGGAGATCCTAATTCACTCTCTACCTAATGCTTCTTTTACTTCCAAGCTCCATTTTGTACATTCTATTCTCTTCATTCTATTTAATATATATAATACAGTAAACACTCATGCACATCATATCCATTGTTTCTCACTTCTTCCTTCCTCTTACGTTTAGAGTCCATGCTTCACTGTTACTGTCAGCTCAGTGTACAGTACACCATGTCCCCATCTTTGCCTCATTTATATGGTTCTCTCAGAATAGTTTTCAAAGCATCTATTTTTTCTGCTACTCAGTTCCATTCATCACAAAATACTGTATGTGCCAAGATAATCCTTCAGACAAACGTTTACTTCTCCCTGTCTCCCTTCTAAAAATAATCATTTCGTTTATTTACTTTTCCTCTCATTCACTATCAATTTTAAAAAAACACTTCCAAACTCTTTCACCGATAATTTTAACTCTTCCAAATTTCTCACTGCAGTCGAGTAAATTAATTTGCAAATAACATGACTCACCTTCCATTTATATCCCATATCATCATTCACTATCTTGTATCCCTCTCTCCTTTACTTTTACTTTCACCTCCAACTTTTACTTTCCCCTCCTTACTTTTATTTTCACCTCCTTACTTTTACTTTCAATTCCTTACTTTTACTTTCACCTCCAAATTTTCCATCCCCATACTGTAAATATTAGAACCATGGTGATATTTACACCCTCGTTGTAGATGTACTTTTACAGGGATCCAGTTTCCCTCTCCCCACTTTATGCAAGGGATAAATAAATACAGGACTAGAAATAGACCCACCCACCCACCTGCCAAACAACATCTGCCTTGGAGGTGGTCATCAGTGTTTCTACCACCAACTTGTCTCCAGGCTTGATGATGGTTCTCTCGTTTGATGACCTTCGCTTAGCCCGTTTTAGTTTACACTTCTTCATCATCCTGGTCATGAGTGCTGGACCCTTTTTGTTCCGTTTTCCTGTAGATGGAATTTATCAATCATTAACAGATCTTCTAACATCATTTTTTGTATTCTTGGTGCAAAAAATGGTAAGTCAACTTGCATCATACTTCACCTATGCATCATAAAACAATAGCAATTTGAAAAATATCTTATTGTACAGTACAGGTATCTCCCCATCTTAATCAGATAGTTAGATGTGTTGAAGACTGTAAGTTCCTCTCATATACAGTAAGAGTATGATGTGAGGAAGCCATCCATTATAAAGATGTAAATTAAAACCAAGTGCATTTCTTAAGATCAATGCAACTCTTTTATAGGTCCAAAACAATGTCAAAATTATTCAGGCACAAATGATATGATACAGGAAGGATGAGTAATTCTAAAGGTAGGGCCATTGTTATTTACATACTCTTTTAGTTAGGAGAATAAGTCATACACAAGCTAAGAAAATCAATTACATAACACTTTGGTTATTTTAAGACAAATAATGAAACTTCCCTCTATTATATCTGGTAAGCTGTACACACACTCACCTAGAGACCCTGTAGATGCCCCACTACTGATTGATGCTGTATCAGAACAGTCATCAGTATCTAAGTCAATATAACCATCACTATCAGCAGTGTCATCATCTTTGGAGTTTTCTCGAGGTACTCCTCCCTCAGCACCCCGGACTTCTTTACACACGGCCGTATTAGATTCTACAACAGGAGAGAAATTTTATAAATTATTATTCAGTACATTACTGCTATGATTATTATGATCTTCACAGCAGACAAACCCTGTAAAATCTTAACCAAACAAAGAGGTAAAGACAATTTTTCATACTACAGTACTACCTATATCATCCTGCCTGACAGCCCTAAGATACAATTATTGTACATAACTGTATTGACACTAAACAAGTGACCATATTTTGGGCGATTTTTATTTTATTGGAGAAATAAAGGATCTTTTAACCCCTAAAGTTTGCAAATCACCCCCAATAGCATACCCTTGGGTTAGGTTAAATTTTCTTCCCTTGCTTAGCCAAGTTTTGTTCTCATAAAAGCCTAATATTCTTCTGATATATTTGAGCTGTCCAAATTCTGATGAATGTGTTAGGATAAACATATACATGGGCAGAAATCCTTGAAAATTAAAGATCTGGTTAAGAAGACCTTAGAGAATGTATCACACAAGTCATTAAGTATGATAGCTACCTTCAGTTCCACTTGGTTGTGATGAAGTGACAGGGGGATCTGCAAATGAATAAAGGCAAGCAATAAGCCGATAAACAGGACAAATGCTCATGCAATATAAATTTGAGTTTAGTAATAAATTCACACTATGAATACTCATTACCATGCATTGTTTATTATTCATATACTGTACAGTACAGCACTATATTTCTACCTCAAGTAACACAACATTTTACATTTTCTATAATTATGCAACCTCAAAACACACACACACACACACTACTCTGCACTACAGGATCACACTCCTAAAAAAACACTGCGTATCCATGAAGGTGACACTCACATTGAGTGACTAAAATGGTGGATGAGATAATGACGAGTCTATCCTATCACTTACACCAAAACAACATTACTTGTCAACCTGAGTGTGTGTCCTCAAGTAAACAATAAGTTTATCCACTGACACTCAAACACTACAGTATTTATTTGACACATCTATCTACAAATAAATACACAGTACAGTATGTATACTATACTGTAAAACTAATCATGTCCAAATCTGCAATTTCCCATAATCACCACAGGGTAACTGAAATCACATTACAGTACAACATCTCCAGTCTGAATTCATAAGGAATGAGCAGTTAAAATTATTAATAGCTTTGGATTACAGATACAGTACTGATTCTTCTACTGTCCCAAACATTTCATCACTTAACAGTAAATTTTTATATTACAGTACATTATGTCCAATTTAAATGTTCCCTGTATGTAATACTGTACTGTCCACTATTTGTATATACCAAATAAAATGCAGTATTTAAAGAACACAAATTTTTAACTTATGATGAAACTGTTCAGCCTTTTCATGTAAAAGTGGCCAAGATATGCGTGTGCCTTCATCGTGACACTGCTCAACCCTTACACTGCGGCCAATGTAAAATTTCTGTGTTCTGTTTAATGGCAAGAGTACTATAACACTTCCTCTTCACTTCACTGAGTACCATCACTTAGATGCTTGTTGGTTGCCATTATAAGAACAGAATAAGAACAAAATCAAGTGAAAAGAGAAAAACATGGAACCAACCACCTGTAGTTCAAGATGGAACACACTGAATAAAAAACAAAAACACACAGCCATCTTCAGAAAGTCACATGTCATTTTGGTAGGATTGTTGAATGCAGACATATGAATCTTGGATGGTCATCCTACCTTGAAAATGGGGGGAAAAAACATTTCTGAAATATACTGTGTAACTGATGAGTCCACATCTTTTGAGAATAATTTTTTTCAATACATATAGTCAAAAGAAAATACCCAAGACAGAATAACATGCAATGAATAAACTGATATTTTTTACACTATCAAGTTGCAATTCCTATCTAGAAGACAGATGACTGGAATTGAACAACACACAAAAATGCTAAATTCTTATACATACTGTACTTTATATAGTACAATACAGCATAGCTACAGAATATTCTCTAATATTCAAAAACAACATCAGCAAAATTTCAACCTCAAGAAGATGCAGGTACAGTATACACAAACAATGCTGAAAGGATGCACAGTAATAATCTTTCGTATGTTTCACTTTTCTACAGATTACAGTAGCTGTATATGACAGTACAGTACTGTTATTAAAGATGCACTAATTATATTGCATACAATTTATTTTACACTTTTTTTTTTAAGAGCTTGGCCATGGTGTTCAGTTAAGATGCAGAAAAGGAACCTGGCACACTCTAAATCAAAATAGCTAAAATTCTTCCAATGAAAGACTGAAGTTTGAAATTCCATTTTACTGTCAATGGGAAGAAATGAATGAGCTACGAGATTTATCACCATCAAACACCCCCCCCCCCAGCCATCCCCAGGAGCTTGTACTGTTTAATGGCAGGCAACATCACCCGTGTGTTCAGTGTCATTGTTGTAAGCAGCTACTATACTAACCTGGCCATATCAGGATTCCAAACCTCTGATTAAGTGGTTTTCTTATTTGGTTAGTGGCTTGTGTATATAAACCACCCTAAGCCATTTCCAAACCAAAACCTGCTCAGGATATTTCTCTTGGCCATGAAATGTGACTTAATAATTTCAGTCCTTTATTTATGGTTCATAGGTCAACAATGAGTGATCTGATAATTTTAAACCTGCTTTGGAATGGGAGAACCTTTAAAAAAAGTTTCCACGAATGTACTATGTAGCATAAACTCCAGGCACTGGCAGGCTCTACCAACAATGTTTGATGGTGTTAGATCTTGTAGATCACACATCAAAGATCCTTTGACCTTAAAATTAAAATGAAAGTCATTGTTTCTCATCATACCTGTAGTTACTTTTACAGCATCAGCTAAAACAGACCGTACTTTTCTCTCTGAAAAGCAATTCATTAGGAAATGAAAACAACAAAATATAGAAAGCTTGAAAGAAGATAAAAAAATCAAGTCTAAAGTACTTATCGCAAAAAAATATGACAGCAATTTATAAAAAATATACAGTATATTAAAAACAAGGAGTGTGCAAAAGACTGTGATCACAAGGCATAAAAAAGTTGACAGCATACAGCAGAAAACTCAGATCCATCTTTATGCAATACATTTTCCATAATAGAAACACAATTCTATTAGTAATCTGAGAGTAAATAAAATAACTACAATAGTTCTTTAGCAGTGATGTGGGAAGTTGAAAACCCACAACTATCGGGTAAGTTGATATTCTGTCTGCATGAACAGTCAATGTTGCACCTACTGTACAAGTACTGTATACTATACCAGAAACTCGTCATCGTCCTAACATTCATTTTTTAAGAGCATCACTTTCTCTCTCTCCATCAAATTTGTCAAAAATAATTATTAATTATTTTTAATTAATATCAAAGCTATTATAACCTCATATCTCCCATAAAATAAAATAAAGAAGCATTGCCTTCTTGATGCAACACCTTGGATTTCATTTGTCACATCAAATCGCTGACTCAACTTGGACTAGACAGCTCATATAACATCAAATTATTTACCTGCTAGCACATCTTCTTTTAACAATACAGACATGGAGAAAGAGGAACACTATCTATGGAAGATTTAACTGTAATCTACTGTAACTAAGGGAAACTACTGTAATCTGTCATAAGATACTGAATACATGTATCTCTCATGGCTAGAGTACAGGCAAGAGTTTCAAAATCCTAATAGAACCAAAAAGAGCCATTCAAGGTCACTAATTCTATAGGAAAAATATCAGTAAGACTATTACCCAACTATGAAGGCCAGTCACAAATGTATATTTGACCCAAGTTAGGGAAATGGTCATTATAAAACCTCTACTTTAGACTAAAAACTAGATAAAGAGGGGCTCCAACAGTCACCAGTTTGACCAAAAATATGAATGAATTGTACTGTTGGATTCTCTCGATCCACCAAAGCTGCCAAAAATTCAACATTTAACAAGATCTTATAGTCTCAGGTTACAGTATACTGCAATTTCAACTGAGAACATAGGATTCCTAAAGTGAGCCACCAGTCATGGAGAAATTTACATCAGGAAGCATAACAAAAGTAGAGTGAAAATTGCTGCTGGGGATTTTGGGGGACACAGAAGGCTTGTGTGGGTTGTAGTGTAGTACTGTACAGTAATTTATTGGCTTTCAGAGCCTTTATATTTTTATAAAATCATATTTATGGGGTATGCACAAATTTCTGGGATCCAGGAACACAACCTTTTCCTCACATAGGAATTTACCTTCAACAGGGGATGATTTGCTTGAGAGTGAGACCCTAGAGAACCAAACCTTGGTCTCTTCCAAGGGCCTCCTGTAAATGAAGTCAAAGACTCTAATGACATGAGAAATTTTCTAAAAGGAGTAACTCAAACATTGCAACAGCTATCAAAAGATATACTACTACCATATTACTTATCATTAAAACAGTAAATTCAATGGTTGATTTATGGGCACTTTTTTTTTTTTTTTTTTAATGGGAGTTAGCTCACCCGGGCACAGGTCAAACGACCCACAACGGGGCCAGGGGGGGCTTTTGTGACTTCATTGGCAGAACACAGTTATCTTGTGCATTTAAACTTTAAGCACGCTGCCCTCTCCTGACCTAACACTTGGTTTACTGACCAATTCAAGAGCCAAACAGGCCTGGAGTTGTCTCAGCACACCCCTGAGATAGATAGAAATGTCACCTCCTTTTACATGAAAATATGAGCGAGGTGTGACTGTGTGGAAAGCTTGTTCAACCCAGATATAGTAATAAAAGACATTTCCTTGCCACTAATAATTTAAACCCAGGCACAATGAACTGGTGGGTCAGTGGGGAAACCATAATTCCTTATCCACTTCTTAAAAGTTATTAAACAAAAAAATTTAAAAAGGTTTACACCACAATTTTTTTTAGGGAAAACCAATGGATCCACAAATCAATAATATGAATAAAAGACATTTGAAAGTCCCAAATATTTGAGTAAAAAGTATAATTACCCAAGATATAATATAAAAGTAAATGGCAATGTCATTAAACAAGTTAAAAGCAACTGAGTACAGATGGTGATAACAGTAGGGAAGTGCAGGAGAGGATGCAAACATGAGCATTATCACAAAACAGTTGAAGGAAGTACCATGTGGGGATAGATAAAGAAATAATTGAAAGGAGACACACTGAATATAGTTACAGTAGGTGTAATGACATTAATGGGGGCAAGAATTAGGTACAGTATAGTGATATATTAATGGGGACAAGAATTAGGTATACTAGTGGCATTAATGGAAAGACAAGAAAAGACACTACAGGTCACAAAACAACTGGGTTAGAAAACTATGTGGAGTACAAAGGGAGAGGGAGGCTGATGGCGACAATGGAAAAATGGGGATGAAAAAGAAACTCAGAAGAAAGCTGGTTGGTAGTACAGTACAGTAGTTTGAAGTGGGTAGTACCTGTACAATGAACGGAGGAGGAGAGGCTGTCAAAAGAGAATAAAACTGGTAGTGGAGAGCAGATGGATGAGATAAACCACAAACAAGTTGGAGACACACAGTGAAGAAACTTGGAGAGGGCAGAGAAGTGGTACAAAGGATAGACGACAGTGGCAGAAGAGCAGCCAAGATGAAAAAGGACTGTAGAAGAGACAAAGTGGTCTGTGGCATAGAACCGAACACCAAAGAGAAACAAAGGGAAGAAGAAATTATTGCAAATATTTCTTGGGTGATCAAGACGAACCAAAATCAAAGGCAATCAAACCTGCAGTTCTTTAAGAGTAATAAGGAAACCACAGAGCAATTAGCACTGAAGAAGGCCAGCAATACTAGAATGAATATTTCACATTCTGTGGGAAACTGCATAAATAATGTTAGTTTTCTCGCTCTAATACCTATGATATCACTGCATTTTATAAGTCTACAAAGAACTCCTAAACCCTATCAACCAAAGGTGAATGTGCCTCACAGAAGCCTTCATGCTAAAGAGATGAGTGTTTACTAGTACTTTTAAAATATCAGTGATCATCCCTATCTTAAAGAACAAGAAAAACAAAATCTGCAATACATATTACAGTATAAAGTACTTTAGAATGAAGCATTTAGATTTTTGCAAGAATTCATATTGTTCATAAAATTAAATAAGTGTTTAAATTAAGTAATTAATGTGAAAAAGAGAGATGCCAAATACAGTACATCAAAAATGAAAAAATAAATAAATGTTTTAAAAATATAAAGATAAAAAGCAACAAAAACTCCTGCAATAAAAATACACATGTACAGTACTGTAGTGCCGACATTAACCCAAATAACTGGTAAGTGGCTGGCCCAGTTAACCGAGGATTTCAGTTTATAAATTATGTCCCCCAAACCACCTTAAAAAAAATTAAACAAATGGACCACCTTAATCCATTACAACCACCAGTAACCATTAGTATTATCTACAGTACAGTCTCCCATACCCCAAAATGATACCCTAAGATACACACACACACACCATACATCCTTTAACACCCTAACCTTGAAAATACCCTCAAATACCTTCTAAATAAACAGTACAGTACTCTAAAATGTGGGCTTAACCAAAATACACCCATAAAAAAAACCTAGTTAACAGAATCATAATTAATACAAGAACAGCTTCATTAGGTTAGAGAAATCTATATAAGAGGCACTAACAGATCTTCTCTTCCAGCCTTTCCCTCTATAGTGCAGGATGGCCAGAATAAAACAATCACATGCATACACATTCTCCCTTCACTTGTTATCCTTCAGTCATTCAGTCCTAGCATTGTAATATGTGTTCTGCTAGGATATTTCAATTCAACAATATGACCCCAAACAATCATCTGTTCTGATTTATCCGTAACTTCACACAGCCTACTAAGCATCATACATCAGAAGTACATCCTTCCCTAGACCTTACTAAACACTTTACTCTCCACTAAAACACACACACACACACACAAAATTGATGTTACCTGCATGTTCTAGTGCATTTTTCACCCCCATCTGTCAATCTCCTTGGTCTGCCACGCTAACTCCTAAATTATAGTACCATTTAACTCTTAAATTATATCATTCTTCACCTATCTTTCACTTCAAAGTCTCTTAATATGTCTTTACCGCAAGTTAAACCTGCATCCACTCTTTTACTAATACTTCTTTCACTTCCATATTCTTCTATTTTTGTATTTCTTATTTCCATTATTGTTAATTTGTTGCGTCCTTGTGCACTCAAGATTCCATGCTTCAAAACCATATAATTTCAGACACCCCTGACTACATTCACCTCACTTTTCCTCGGTTCACCTCTACTTTGCCCTTCTGCTCGTTTCACACAAATCCATGACATCCATTTTCCTTTCACTCACTTTAGTTCTCAATCACTGTTTTGGTTACCACTCTGATTACAAGCACAAACATTAAAACATCCTAATTTCCTTTGCTCTTTCTTCTTTTTTAGTAACCGAATATACGAGGATGGGGTTGTATGGCCCACACTCCTGGACCAGAAAGGAGGTAATGTACACCACAAAAACTAAAAATTTTCACGATCAAAAATTTTTGGAGATGGTTAATTTCTTACTGGACTTATTCTTTGCAGGTCGTGGTCGTAGGGGACAGGGATTAGTGTGGTCTGCTGATAGCTGGACTGCCATAAGCTTTCTCCATTGTTCCCGGGTCATGATTACATCTCCTTCTTTTGAAGAATAATAGTTACGATCACCTAGCTGAAGGGTGCAAGGCTCAAATACATTCAGCATTTTCACTCTGAAAAAAAAAAATATATATATATAATAAAAAATATATAAAGAGGACTGACACAATGAAGAGTCCTACCCACCTAAATCTAACCTAACCTCTGGACTAACTTTCTAAAACTGTCCTGAGACGTGGCACAATTAATATGAGATGACCCCCTCAAAAGGCAGAACAAAGCTTAGTAAGTTAAACAAATATAAGTACATATACCTGTACAAAATCTTTACTTTCTAAGGGTCTGTGTAGACTGACTCCCACACTCATTCACATGCTGATTAAAATGCCCTCAACATTCAAGTTTAAAATTAACTGGCTACACATTTACCTAACAAGCTTTCTTCATTCAAACAGAATTTAGGTAAAATACAGGTGCAAACTGTACAAGAAATTAAATAAATTTATTATTTTTAACAACTCACACTGATTTAAACAATGTTATACAGGAATAGGATTATGCAATAGGATTATACAATATAATATACCTGTACTGTACATGATCCTATGCAAATAAGAAGAGAAGAAGTGATGCTGTTATTTCAATGTGTTCTGAAAATGACAGGTTCTCTAAACTGAGTGACAACAGACAGGGCTCAACACTGTACAGGTGCCCAGGGCAACCAAAATGTAGTGCTGGCCATTTTTCTTTAACACTAAGCACTTTTTCTTTTTACACTTCAGCACTAAACAGTGGCTGAAAGAGTGAAGGATAGAGAGGGTGTTAAGATGATATGATTATGAGGAGAGAATGAAGATGCACAGGCTGGAGAAGAGATGTATGTGCAAGGTGAAAGGGAGGTGAGGGTGGAGACCTGAGTACAGGGTGTAAATAGAGAATAACGGGATGCTTAGGGAATCTCTGCATCTATTGACCAGCTGGATTGTGAGAAATGATGTCCTGGACACAATAAGATTTACCTCTTTAAATCTTCTCCTTGAACAAGATATTTCGGTTGCTCTTTGTCTACATTCGAGTCATTGGAAAATGCACGGCACTGCCAACGTACTCCAAGTTGCACCACCTGTGAAGAAATTTAAAGTCCAAATAAACAGTAGTACTGTACTATTTTTAATAAGGGCATCCAGGGTAAGAAGGTTTAATAAATTTAATCTACATATCTCATAAACTTCAGTGGAATAACAATAATAGTAATGTACAAAATAGAGTGAAAGCCTAGAAACCCAGCACTGCTGGGAACAAGAGCATGCCAGATCTGTGAATGCTCTCATTTTTGCCCCTCCCCTTGATATCTTAAGTATTTCTAAGTTCCTGGTATTAAGCGTATAGTTCGTGTGTTGTATTCTTGAAATGATCCACCACCCTTGGATAGTCCACGTGCAATGCAATGTTTCTTGTATTTATAAAAAAAAAAAAATCACCCTTACTCCTGTAGATATACTATTACTGATCAAAGACTAAGCATATGCCTAAACAAAGAACCCTCCTGGAAATAGACACCTAACAGCTTTGTCAGCTATCCTGGGTCAAGTTGCCTTACTGTTTACCATTGTCGTATACTTTAACAAGCCTTTATGCAATTTTACCATAGCTCTACTATATAGTACTGTATAAGACAGCATCAGCAACCTATATCACATCTTTCAATCAGAATATTTCCAGGCACTAGCCTGCCCCAAGTATTTCCATTCTAAATACCCTGTACAAAAATACTCTAAAATTATCTCTGTGCTTACCTGAACTTGTTCAACAGAGACCTTAATTGACTTATGAGGCTTGGATAACGCAACTTCCATCTCTCGTGTGCGGTGGATCCATTCCACATCTTCAAATGCCCGTGAGCATCCAACTAGCTGCTGTCCCGGGTAGAAATCATATCGCCGAAACTCCGAGTCCTTGGGGGAAAAAATACCAGAAGTTAGAAACAGTCACCATACATATAAAACTGATGAAGTAATCTTTCCAAACACAATCACAGAAAAAAAATCTAAACATTGTTTGAGTTTTCTTAACTGACAACAAAAACTGATAAAGCATCCTGAGAACTTCAGCAAGTAAGCTGGGGAATACTGTGATAAATAATTATTAAAAACTCAACTCATTTATTAGACATAACTATAAGGGCAAGTGAATTTCTACTGTGTAATAATACTGTATACCTAAGCAAGTGCATATTTTACTGTGTGAAGAACAGTGTAAGGAATCTTTAAAATTATTTCAGAAAGTAGGTTTTCATATACAGTGAACCCTCACCTTACGCGGTTAATTCAACCCACGGCGGCCCGCGTAAAGTGAGAAACGCGTAAAGTGAACAACCTAACATATGGGATTAATTGAAATAAGAGACCGGGCCTACCCCCAAACTCCACTTTTTCAGACACAATACCTACGTTGTAGTAAAAATAACTTCTTAATTTTATGATGGTATGCACACACAATTAATAATTAAGAGAAATATCAATAATATTAGGTTTTTTAACACTTACATTAGAAGAAAAGATGACTGGGCACACGGGGATGGGGGGTTGGTTCCGAGGCAGAGGGCAGATTACTGGCCCTCACCTGTATCACTTGTATCAATTGTATCACTATCCACCACAGAGGCTTGCAGGGCCTCTTTGTCAAACCCCTCAAAGTCCATATAAGTCCATATCCTCACTATAATTATCACTATCACTGACTTGGGCCGGCTGTGGTGGGTGGCGGGCGAAGAACTCGATAATGTTTTGATGACTGGGCGACCTTATGCGCACCCTGCTCGCGCCGCTTACACAACATGGCGGATGGCTTGGATCCAAAAATGGCGCGGCTCACCAGCCGCTCTCCGCATAAAGGGGTACACGCACCGAGGAATGTGAGCATTCCGGTTTCGGCAGGGTACCGCGTAAACGCGGAATGTGGGACCGCGTAAAGCGAGGGTTGACTGTACTGTATTGTGACAAAATTGTTTCATAATGATGTAATAGCTAATAATGAGTACAAGATGAACAGGTAAAAATCCCAGGAGGGTGAGAATAGTGTCTGTACTACAGGTATGCCTCACTATAGGAATGGTTAGATTCCTTGAAAACAATTTGTTAAGTGAATATTGTACAATATATCATAAGCTCAAAATAAAATGCAATAGTTTACATGATAGTTAAAAGAAATTCATTCCATAGAATGCATTGGAATCATTCACAGATAATTTGGTATTATAGTAATCTTAGTTTGTTAACTCATGAGTTCTGTCAACTCTCACAAAGTAAATTTATCTTTTCTCTTTCTGTGCAGTACAGTGTTATAAGTTCTTGAGGCTATGTTTTATACAGCAATATGAAGAGCTCAGAGTGCTTTAATCAATATTCTGTAGTACTAATTTGTTAACTTTATAATCCTCTCTTACATTTATGACACACATATCTGGTCCATTCACTAAAATGAACATCAAAATACCAAAAAATCTTGTAGGTAACACTTAGTTAAATTAAAGCAACTCAGGTGTCTTAAAGGGGAAGCATTCAAAACTAAAGAAAATTTAATAAAAAAAATAACAAATACAAGCTCAGGATAACCTTTGTTTTGTTCATGTAATTGTATTTTGTTTAGAAAATAAAATATTGTCAAGGAAGTCTTTGCTGCAGTTTCATAGTGATGGTACAAATTAATGCTTAAATAATAAAGAAAATATTCATAAGATTAAAAATACATGTCTTGTGGCACTGACAGCCATTAAAAGTATCAAAAGTTTCACTGAAAATATCGAGGATTGATTCTGAAATCCCTTTTTCTGGTGGGGAGCACAGCCAGGTAGCTCTTATAGTACAGGGTGTCTTACTAGTGGGCCCACAAACCCTTAGACAGATCTCTTAACACCAGTCAGGGTTAATTTGTAAATACATATTCATGCCTCAACCACACATTCTTCCCCACCGCACCAAGAGGGAAACACACCAGCTGCCATAAAAGACGAAATATTATTAAAGCCATGACTCCCTAATCAGAACTCAATGCTTAAAAGTTTATGCCTGCCATCCTTGAATAAAATAAATACGGATCAAACCACCCAGTATTTCAGTTCTGGTGCCTAATCGTGAACCCAAGGGAAGAGGGAGGGTTTCTGAGTTGTTAGCTATGGGCTTCATCAGAAGAAGGCATAAGGAATTTGAGGATCAACCCCTCCATTTCTGACTACCGCCCTTATGGCAGGCAGCACTTATAATACAACCCCTGTAAAAATAAAAAGGTGGAGGAGGTGCTAAAAACTTCCAGGACTGGACAGCCACACTCCCATGAGAGATGGCCTGCAATATTCACAGGCTAGGGAGGTTAATAACCCTCAATTCTCTTACAGTACTTGGTGATCATCAAAGCACTTGGTGTTGATCGAAATACCTGTCTTACTTAGCATGATTATGAGCACCTCGAACCACATACCAGGCATACTTGAAGTCATTATGAGAATCTGAGAGGCCCCCAGTAGTATTTACAACATCTGTGAGATGCAGGTATCTCACTGGCAAAATTAAGAGCACAGGTGACATCTATTATCATTTTAAGTACCTGAGGTCCTTATTAGAACCTATGGGACACCTGGTTTCATTATAAATAACTGTGTATCCCTTAGGGTCATTAATCAACTGGGGTCACTACAATCACCTAAGAGTCACTTGGTATTTTAAATACCTTCAACTCATTTGGAGGTGTCACAATAAGAACCTGTAAGTCATAGTGGGCACACGTGTTACTTGGAGTCATAATAGGCCAAGAAATTACCCAGTGACAGTTAAAATAATTGAATAAGAAAATTAATATTACACATACAATAAAAGCCGACTAGCATGGGACCTTTCATGGGTCGGATAATCGAAAAAGTCGGATAACTGGCCAAACAAATAAAACAAAAATCAAATAGCAGCATAATGTTCGAGTGTAAATAAAATGCAATGTAATCATATTTCAATTCTTAAGGGATTTTTTTAAGACTGTTTGTTTCGTTAAATATGTTTTTAAAGGTTACACAAATAAATATCAAATGAAGAGTCAATCAACATGAGTGGGTACATTGTCTGCTAGCAGAGGCCAGCAGGCAGACGCCCAACTACATCCAAGTCAAACAAGACTCAAGGAGTGTTATAATTTGTGAAAGTGTTTTAAAATGATAGAATTAGTGTTGAAGTGAGAAAAGATGATGTCTTAAGAATTGTTTATTTTATACTATTCCTCACTTGTTGTTTGACTAACTCCACTGTAACTTACCCTCATCCCCTTTGGTGTAAGAATATCATTAAATGTATCTTGTATACTTCATTTCTCAGAGAAACATTAAATAATTTTCATGCTGTTTGTTTCATTGTATAAATTTTTTTTAAGATTCAATAAATATATATAAAACAAAGACAGTCAATCAGCTGATGAAAACATAAGTTTTCCTGACCTCAATAGATGGCAGCATGGCAAGCAGGAAATCTGCTTGCAGATACAGTATTTAAAAATTACTGTACAGTAATTTGCTTCTTTGTGATCCCTTGCAACACATCACATGACTTTGTAGTACAATTCTTACCTAACATGGTTAAGGAGTTCTTATTTTTCAGACAAAAATTTATGCAACAAACTTGGGACGCACCGAGGTCGATTGTCTGGAATTTTTTATTTTTTTTTATCTGACGGGACATACATAAAAAAAGTTGGATACCCTGAAGTTGGACTAGTCGTTTATGTGGATGGTTAACCATAATGTTTATGAACCACATAAAACTCATGAGCTAGCACAATCATGAAAATTGGTATATACTCCTTCTGTGTACAAATAACCTGAAAGATGGTTAACACTGATTATTGAGTGTTCTGAACCATTAAAGGGGCCCAATATGTCAGCAGTAAAAAGTTGAAAGTGAGGGATAGTGTCAGGAACTCGCATGCCTAAACGGGAACACATGCATTAATGGGACTACAGGTATTACCGTACATCTTTTCTGGGACCTTTATCTTTGACGTAATTACACGGGTGTTGTCGCAACACGTCTTCTAGTGATGGTACAGTTGCCCGCGTATGTCATGTGCCTCGGTACATGTGGCAATACTGCAGTGATAGTCAAGGTACCACAACTAAAGGGGGGGAGTGGTGGTGATGGGGAGGGAGGGAGGATAACAGAGCTCAACAGCCTATCTGTAATAGAGACATATAACATCCAAAGGACAATTAATGTAAAGTCCCCACCAACCCCCAGTTGTGGTACCTTGACTATTACTGAAGTGTTGTCATATGTGCCAAGTCTCTTGTGAGGCGAAGAAGATATAACACATGCGGGCAAATGGACCTACAGTATTTATAAAATTTCACTTCTTTTCTTTTTTTACTTTCTTTTTTTACATCACTTAAGAAGTCATGAAGCAGACATTGTAAGTTTAAAAAAGATAATGCCTTTACATAATATGTTCCATTAAGATGGGTGACTAGAAAATAGGGAAGGATTCTGGAAGCTCTGGTAACTCTGGTCATATACGGTAATGGCACAAGGCTCGTATTACCATGGCCTTCCAATTGGACATCTTTTGATAAGAATCACATTTAAATCTAGTTATTGATATGTGATACTCCTGGGAACTTATAAACCCCTCAATTAGCTACATCTATAAAAAACTAAAATTATACCAGCAGCATATACACAGCTTCCACACCTACTCACATATGGAAATTTTAGCAAAGAACATTCAACACACACAGATCAAAACATCTCTTAAACACTTCTTCTTTTCCATGTAAAATCGAACAGTGAACAAATCTCTAATGCAGATCATCAAAAATGTAAAAAAAATTACAAATATTACTGCAACCAAGGATACATAATACTTTACAGTACAGTACTGTGCAAATAGAAATGAGAATGAAGGTCCTTTCAGTGAGAAAAACAAAAACCCTGCTCTACCATAATCAGTGTTTATAGACTGAGAATATACTGTACAAAATGACCTCCAGTACTTTGTGAGATAAAGCCCACACCTTGCAAAATTTTAATAATATTAACTCCTATTTAACCTTCTTTTATCATACATTAAAAAAAATATCAATACATTCCAATATAATGTTTTGTGTGCTATAGTCTATCCAAAAGGTCATCAAATACAGTACAGTACTCACTCCCTTACATTGGAGCTTGGTGTAGACAGTGTAGCTAGCAAGCATATCATCATCTCACTCAACTAGGTATTGTACTGTATTAGCACACGAACGAGCCTGATGCCGTAGCAGAAACAGTCCCGAGGCTTCAGGGTGACCCAATGCACTAGAGAGAGCAATACGTCTTTCCTCCAGTAAATATGCCCAATTCTTCTCTGTCGTTTCACCTCTATGTATGCATATGGGTTTATTTATTTTAAAATTCATGTGTTGCTACTATCAAACCTCCCTCAGCAAAAATATCAATCTGCCTCCCTCCACGTACATATTCCTGGCACTCCATATTCCCCTACATTCCCTGACACTTCCCAATCACAAACTGTAATAGCAATATCTCTTTTCAGTATCACTTAATTTCTCACACTAATATTTTCAATATAAATATCCAAGCCTTCCCAGAACCTTAACCCTTCTTACTTTTCTCATTCCCTGGTGTGTGTGTTCAGTATACAGGACTTACTAACTGTAGCCCACTCTTCCCCTCCTACTTTAAATCTGATCCAAACTATTCAAGTAACTCCACACTTCATCACTCAATAACATGCTCTCATCCCCCTTTATATTATTTCAGACACCCCTCACCCAACTTGTCCTTACCTCACCTTACTTTAACTCTTAAAAAAAAAAAAAAAGTACAAGTTTTTCTGAACACTCTGGTGATATCCAAACATATCACACACCCTGTTTTTAATAGTTAATTTCTTTCTATTAAATGAACACTGTACAAGAAGGTGGAGTTACCATCCCAACACCCCCAGATTTGGATGTGGGATGACTCCAGCTATGAACAGATAATCTGCTCCAATGGCACCTACCATAATCCTTGTACAGTATACTGTATTTATTGAATCCCTTACTTAGTTATATGCTTTTCCATATGTTAAATGTCACCACTTGTACACATACACAGCTCCTCTGGTATCCCATATTACAAAGTACTTGTTTCAGATACTATAGAATATGAAACATCACAACACATCAATTATGCCAAAATATATAAATACTGTACAAGCTTAGCATAAAATAGTATGATGTGGAACTCAAAGTACATAAAATCTTGCATGAACAGTAATTCCTGATTCTACTTCTAAATCAACAATAGCTGTAAATGTTCCAACCACGTGGGTACCTATCTATAATATATACAACCTATCTGCCTTTACTAGCAGTACAGTACCATACAGCAATATGCTCAGTCTAGTTACACTAGGAGCAAAACACCAATCTTAAAACATCCTTAACACATTTTATAAGAAAATATAAAAGCAGCTTGGGAAGTACACACAGTGACATCAAGCGATATAAGTGAGGTTACCGTGAGCTTGATTGACAGTTACCAATCTAACCCTATCTCGTGTATCCCGCATATCATCCAACTCCAGAGCTTCGCCATCGGACATAATGCATCTTGAGCCATCAGCACACAGCATCACCAGCCGACACTTGACCATGTGCACCATTCCTACCCAGGAGTCTAAGGCTACAGCAATGTCTGTTGTAAACTCCTAAAAGACAAAAACACAAATCATATTAGATACAATAACTCATAAAAATTATAAATTTCCTCTTCTATAACACATTCAATGACAAGTTATCTAAAATATATAAAAATAATAACAGGAGTATGGAGACAGCATTTTCAAGAAGTACAAGATACCAATTATAAGTAGTAAATCTTCCTCCATAAACTATGTACAAGTAAATCTGGTACATTCTTATAAGATCTTCGCAGTTATCGAGTACTGTACTGTAAACAGAATCAAGCAAGGGTCCCAGAATGAGAGGGCAGTATGGCTTCACCTATGAATACAAGGCATAATTCAATGCCTGGATTGACATTCTACTTTGTGACAAATGCCCATAACTACTTAACATCATCAACTTAGATACCATGTATATAAGGTGATAAAGAAAAGAAGTAGCTGTGACATTTTAATGTAACAAACATCATGCTAAGAATCAACATCTATTCCATACTAAGTGCCTTAGTGCAGAAGAATGCAATCCTACAGGTAGATCAACTATGCACATACAAAAGGTGAATAATTATAAAAACTTCATGGGGATGAGGTTACTATAACATAAGTAAGGTAGAGATAAGCGTATGAAAGCACAGCTACCCTATGGTAACAGTAATGGAAGAGGACACATTTGTAGGCAGTGGATTTTTTCCCCAGAAATAGTCACTAAAATAAAACAGTGACAGTCTTGATGTATAAAAAACATATGAAGTTTCTTGTGGTAGGATCCTTGGCACTTAAAAATATCTTCCCAAGGCAAGCAGTGCAGGAAGAATAGCACATACTGTATACAGTAGTTAACAGTTTTGTAAAGTTGAGGTTAGTGGTACTTCATCATAAGGTTATCACAACTACCATCATCATCACCATTTTACAGCCATTTCCTACACATGTATGGATTATCTGAAATGCTGCATGGTCTCCTGCAGCCTCTCATCACGTTCTCATCTCTCGGGCAAATTCTTACAACCTCTCCTCATGTCATTCTTGGCCTCCCTCCATTCAAATTCATGCATCTCTTAATCCATTTGATCTCCTCCAATCTCTTCACAAATTGTCTACCTCTTTGCAAAACCTCACCAATACTCTCAATACCCAACTGCCCTCTCAGCTCTGAAGAGGGTTTCCTATCTTTCAATGTTACTTTACAAATCTATCTTGCCATTCTCATTCCAGCTAACTCAAGCCTGTGTATGCTATCCTCTCTTACAGCCCATGTTTTGCTGTCATACATCACACTTTCTTATGCCAGTTCCATACATACAATATTTCACTTCGCATCAAGACAAAGTCCTCTCACCACCAATAATGGCAGTAACTCCTTAAACTTTTTCCCACCACTTCTGACTCATGCAACCAAGTGTGGGAGTATTGGAGATGTGGTCACAGCAACTTCATTTTTAGTCAAAGTGAAGGTTGCAGGCAAAATGCATATCGGTATCTACCTCATGGTATGACAGACATCCTTAGTGTAGATCAAGTAGTCCTGGAGCATTGTGTGTATGATTTTGTGCAAATGGGGTCAAAGTAATCGTATTGAAATGGGAGTGCAAGGTAAGGTCAGAATGCAATTCTATCCAAAGGACATCACCCAAGGTCAAGAGAGTGAATAAAAGACATAGTTAGATGGAGAATAAGGCTCTAAATGCAAGAGAGAAAAGTCAATTAGAAGCTAATTAAATTACTAGCTTGACAGTAATAGCCATTGTGAATTGGATGCAAAGAATAGGCCTATGAAATATAAAAATTAGATGTGGATATGAAAGAAGTGCAAGAGAGAATGTCTGACGAGGGTCTGTCAAAGTGTTAGGAGCATATGGAGAGAATATCAGTTAAAGACTCGCCATACAGCTTCACAGATGTAAACCATAGATATGCAAAACTTTATACCTTATGATAACTGTTTCTTTTATTTCTTTTTGCATTTTCTGTATGTAGGATTGTGTATGCATGTAACCAAGTATAAAAAAAACAAAAACAAAAAAACAATTACATATACCGTATCTACCCAAAATTACGAGTTGAAAAAATACTTTAGCTATACCTTATGATAATTATTTCTTTTTCACTTTCTATGTGTAAGATTGAGTGTGTCTGTAAATGAATAAAGAAAACTACATATATCTACCAAAAAATTACTAGTACAAAAATAAGCATAACATAACATATAGTTAACAGGTGAGGAATGGTTGGAAAAATCCCCACTTCACCAGGGAATTACTTCTGGCGCTCATTTTAAATAATTTGTTCCGGAACATACGAATAAGCACACTACAGTATATTTCAACTGGTTAAAGGTATGAGTAGTACAAACTATTAATCCCACAAGAAAATCAAATGACGTTTGGGAAATACCTCAAGTGGAGTAAGGTCATTGCTGTCAACATTCAATATCACATGCTTTGTTCCCACGACTTGCACGCTGGAGGTTACGTGCACTTGGCGGCAGTAACCACGCTGAGTGTCCTTTCCTCGGATCAAGCGACGTACGACATCGCCAGGCATTAGTGACCGATCTGCCAATCCCACCTGCAAAAACATACATGGCAACTTGAGAAACATGTTCTATACAAACCTCAGTACAGTATTAATGAAAGAACAATTATTCATAAAACAAGTAATATGCCCCTCTTATTATATCTATAACCAATGGCATGTCTCCAGCAGGATGGTTCATACAGTCTCTTTCACTCCATTATATCCAGACACATTCCAAGGACACCTACAAAACTCCCTATTACAGTAAACCTTCGATAACTCGGCACGGATATGGTCTCAGAGTGTATTATTATAGCATAACTCGGGAAATGCTGATATATATAAAATTTGTTGCAGTAAAGTAGTAGTAAAATTTTCAAAGTAGACCAATGTAGATTAGTGAGTTAGGTAGAGTTTTATTTGGTTGGAACACTAATAGTTTTCCTAAATAACAACCAAATAGCCATAATACTGTGTACAAAAGACTGTCTGTACATAATTAAGAACAAGGGCCCGGGTTAACCAGCTAGCTACCAACAAAAAATATCTACGTACAGAAAACTTATTTCCTATATACCTAATGCACATGAACTACAACACTAGAAATTGTGAAATTGCCGACAAAACAGTACGAGAAGAGGTTGTGGACAGTGCCTGGCTGATGATGACACCACAGTGGTCATGTTTAGGACCACATAATACAGTAATGTACTGTACACTATCATGACATCCCTCAGTACAGGCTGTGCAGATTATGTGGAAGACATATTTGTGCTTGGATTTACAGTATACTATATATTTTTGAGTAATACTGAAGCAGATGGCTAACACCAGATGGAGTTGTTCGATTTCATTAATTTTTTCAACAGATGTTCTTTGGACGATAATAATAAAAATGATACATCTTTTTATTTTAATTATAAATTTATATATTTTAGTTCTTCTCTCTATCTACAATCACAAATCACCAGTAGTGGGCAGGGAACAAAGGATGAGGGATATTGTGGGGGTAAAACACAGCAAAAAAACTGATAATTCGACACTAAAATGATGTCTCTATGTGCTTTGTAAATGAAGAAATTAATTATTTGCCATATATATTTAGCCAAAAAATCTGCCATGTCGGCACTTGTTGTCATCAGCTCTTCATTTGGTTACTCTCGGACCGAGTGAGTGTACTCTCAAATGCACAAAAAAATTTAAATTACACCATGCAGCTTCAAGAAAGTTACTTTAATTGGTACCACATATTAAAATAAGTACTTTCTGTTTAATGTGGCGAGGGATACGATCCCCGGCGAGGAAGTTAGGTAAAGTTAGGTAGGTTTCTTTGGTTGGTTTCGTCAGTTTCTATTATATTCTATTAATATCACCTCGTTTAAAATGCTTACCATAATGATAAGATCATGTGGAAAAAGAGGAACAAAATTGAACAATGCCTTCTGGTGTTAGCCATCTCCTCCAGTATTACTCATGTATTTTGTTATGATTATGTTGTACAGTATAAGTACAACACACATCAACCTAACCTAACCTACCAAGTTACAAGATAGTATGGTTAGGTCAGGTTGGTTCATGTTGTCTGCAATCATAAATAATTTGTGAACATACCATCCCCAACTAACAGGTTCTGGCCAGTTTATAATCATCTGGCTAAGACAATTTATTTTATCATGCCATACAGTTTTAAGAATAAACCAATAACACACATGTCTGTTTCAGCCACTGGTTTAAATCATTCCCAGATGTTTCTAACTGTGCATCAATATATCTAATGGGTGTCTCTCAAAGATGTGGAGTTATAAATTTAAGTCATATCTATTCCTAAACTAACTGTACTATATAACATATTAACTACCCTGAGTCATAGTGTTACCAATATGTTCAGACCAACTTAGAATATATACTATCAAAAGTACTTTACAATATGTGTTTACATTATTTTTACATATATTTTATTTCAATCATACATACAATTAATTCCTAATAAATAAATCAATTAGATTATATTTTTATAAATCTGTTTCTATGACTCAACTCTCCACCATTGTTGTAACTCATGGTCAAACATTCCACACTTTACAGCTGTCTTAAACCTCACATATTATAGCTAAGAAAACATATTAATGTGTGGATGATGAGTTAGATACATATAATAGATTAATTAACTCACAAACCATCACTGGAAACACTAACTACCATCACTTACTTTTTTTTCATATATATACAATTACCACATGAAATATAATTAATCTAACGTTTAAATTAAGGTTCATTGATCATTCTGGTTGATCTTTTGCTAGTGTTAAGGTTAATAAGGGTTGTAAATGAGAGGATGTATCTTACCTTTCTTTCAGGGAGAACTTGCTCCTCGCCCTTGGGGTACCATGCCACCCGTATACTGCCTTTGGTCACCTTGTCTTCCTCATCTACATCAGATTCCTCATCACTGGATACAAATTCTGCATTCTCCAGTACCATACCAAGCTCCAAGTTTCCCTTTTTATTGAATCTGTAGACTTCATCCTCGTAAAAGTATTGATACTCCTGCGCCATGTTGGACTGAGTGTGTTTAGTCAACTGAAAAACTGAACTAGTAAAATATTTGACTTAAAATTTTAATTTGTTCTTTATTTACTCAATGGAAAATGTTAATATATTTTTCAAAATAAATATAACACCAAAAAATTTTTGACATAAAGGATAATATATATTAGGTAGGAAACTATAGATTCATATTAGGCAGCGAGTAGCAGACGACAGCAGCAGGTGACAGTAGACGGGAGGGACTGGCTCACTGTCCCCTCACCACACGTGTCTACTGAACACCTGTTTCTCTACGTGGCTATGAGCAAGGTCTACTGTATATAGACCTTGGCTTCGAGGGAATCATGATACATGCAAACAACACATCGCTGTTCTTAGTTACCATATAACTTAAATATCATATGACTCCTTCATGGGCTATAATTTTACACCCCCGTGGCAAACAAGGAGATTTTGTTCAGAGTATATATATATATATATATATATATATATATATATATACTATATATATATATATACACAGAGAGGGTATATTTATTTATTTACTAAGAAATACAAATTGAAACAAAATATTTTATGACATTGTTTTTCATCAATTACAATCAAATTATTGTTCCTGAACAAATTGTTAAAAATTACTCATCCATGATTCATAAATAGATGGTATTTCAATAGAACCCTGAACATTATTACATGCTTTAATGAATCAATAATAACAACAGCTAGGAGACCTGACTTCATCGGTGGTGTAAAGAGGCATAAGTAATATACTTTTACTTTTATCCTCTTCACCACTGATCGGCTCGTTAGCCGCTTGGGCGATCGGTCACGTCTCTGTCTCTGTCACGCACTGTTGGCAAGTACTGGGGATGCACCGGCTCCTGAATGTACCTGAACCTGCTCCAGTGTTGGTCAAGTCTGGTCTTGAAAGAGCTCACACTCAGTGCCGTTACAACGCCCTGACATTTTTTTTAACTTGTGGTTTCTTCTACCTTAAGCTGGACAGTTGCAGGTGTTCTAATTTCTCTGAGTAATTGAGGTGCCGTAGCCCGCCTTTGGAAGTTTCCAATAAACTGGTGTAAATAACCACACCCCTCTTGAAAATGCCCGAGAAAGGTTCGTAAATAAGTCATATATTCCTCTGCATTAAACTCCCTCGTCGTGGTCACGTACAGTACCTCTAATGGGCAGCTATTAGGTAAGTAAGGTAGAATTTGAATCAGAATAACAACTATTATTTTCTTATAATTCGTCACCACGTGTGTGTGTGGTGAAATGGCTTCCCCATCTGGAGTACTGTCACCCCATCTGGTCCCCGAGATATGCTAGGGACTGTTAGTTGGTTGAAAATGTTCAAAGGAGGGCCACCAGACTGGTGCCTGCACTTCGGCACCTCAGCTACCCTAAGAGATTGGAGCGCAGCAACTTGCCTAGCTTATACTACAGACGGGCAAGGGGTGACCTAGTTGAGGTGTATAAGCATCTCAGGGGGCACTACTCAGTTGAGTGTCCTTACTTGGAGCTGGCGGACGCTCGCCCCACAAGGGGTCACAGCTCAAGATTGAAGAAGCCGCAAGTCCAGCAAACCGTGAGGGCAAACTTTTTCGGAGTGAGGGTTGTAAACTCTTGGAACAATCTACCAGAGAGTGTTGTGGTGGCACCGAGTGTGAGCTCTTTCAAGACCAGACTTGACCAACACTGGAGCAGGTTCAGGTACATTCAGGAGCCGGTGCATCCCCAGTATTTGCCAACAGTGCGTGACAGAGACGTGACCGATCGCCCGGGCGACTAGCGAGCCGATCTTTTGGTGAAGAAGATAAATGAAAAGGAAAAGTAATCAGAGACGTGATCGATCGCCCAAGCGGCTAACAAGCAGATCAGTGGCGAAGAGGATAAAAGTATTACGGTGATGCAGCAATAACAAGTGCATCTCTCGCCAAAGTGTCAAAGGGTTCGATCCCGGACTTACGGGAGAAGGGTGTTATCCAGAGGGTGATAAAACATCACATGTTTCCCGGCCTTCGGATTCCTCCTGTCAATCTAACACTGGATAGACTAACCGGAAAAACGGCTAGTAAGCTTAAAAGGGGTAAAACAAAAGCTGTATAGTGTTAGTACAGGAGGAAACCGGGGACGGGAAACATGTGATGTTTTATCACTAGATAACACCTTTCTTTTGCGAGTCTGGGATGGAACCCTTGATATTTTGGCGAGAGATACACGTTACCGCCACACCACCGTTATATTTGAGTTAATTTTTATACGTCATTTCACCACGTATCTTACCAGCCATTAAGGTGGTCGCTCGTCTACTTATGTCATCCTCTTTTACTGCCCGTTTCACTGTTATGCAACATCACACTTCTAACACTGTACTGTGGGATAGTACTAGTTATCTGTCATCTCTTATGATTTTATAGTACAGCTGCATTTCACGAAAACTCTGTCTTAGTGTACTGTAATATGTAAGTCTCCCATTGCAGTGTGAAACGCGCCACAGAAAACGTAACTGGCGGGGGGACTCCTATAGCAAGAAATTGCAAGTTTTGACCATCCCGTGTTTTTTTTGTTTTTTTTTTTTACCGGGAATTAGCCCACCCGGGCACAGGTCAAACGACCCACAACGGGGCCTGGGGAGCGAAAAAAAAAAAGAACAGAAAGAAATTGAAAATAGAGAACAAAAAGGTTATATTGTGTGAATCTACACCACGAAGATGCCGGAAAACCAGCTTTTTAAAGTGAGACAGATTGTATAAGTATAAGTATGTTTGATACCATACAAACTTAGACAAAACTACATTATTTACAATAGGAAAAAACAACTCTGTATTTTAATATTGAAGGTACAGTACCTCAATGTAGCAAAAGACTAAACCAACAATTATATCAGTCTGTAATACAGTAAAGACAAATACATAATATCCACTACATGTTAAAAAGAATGTTTTAAATTTTTTACATTTATTTATTGAAATCCATTGTTTAAAATATTATCGTGTATGCCATATGGTTTAGGGTAAGCCTCCACTATAACTTAAAAAGGCAATGAACTTTTTTTGTGAAATGAGGATAATTTTTTGTTCATATTTCTCATATGTAATTCTATGTAATAAGTGCATTTCTGGTATATATGACTTCATATTTAAATTAAGATGTCATTCATTTTCTTATGACCAAACTTTGCATAAATTAGAATAGATGAAGTTAGGTTAGGTTAATACTGATGTTCTAACATATTGTAATATGTATTATCCCCAAAATGCATGACATACAAACACTTCACAGTCTGCTCTACCAATGGCGTCCTTCCTCTCTTGTTACATCGTCAACATGATCATAATTTACAGACTAAATTTGTGTTCAGTTTTCTAAGCCTCAGCCTGGCTATCGCTTGCCACAACTTGGGGATTCTTCTCTGGTTTAAGGAACTTGGTCTCCTTCCCCGTTGGCTGTTGCTGCTGCTGCTCCACGACAGTGCTGTAGTTCCACGGCTGGATTTCTGTCGACCCGAAGACGGTGAACACCATCCACGAAGACACATACATGACGGCAGTCAGCCAAAACACCGCCTGCCACTCCTTCAGGTTCTGGTGGGGGATAAACAAGGTGTTGGATGATGAAGTGACATAAAGAAGAGATTTTGGAAGTTTTGGTGAGAATAAACAAGAGAGATAATATGAAGATAGTGAGTTACTGACCTGGTGTGGGGTCATGGCACCGACGATGACTGGCACGCATATCGACACCATGTAGGCCAGGGTGTTGCTCACGCCCAGAATAGTTCCTGAAGCAACAAACATAATATTACATTCTAAGTGATAAACAAGTATAAGAAATAGTAATTAACAAAAACTGTAGGAGAAAAACAGCTAAGGTACATCACATTACGTTTAAATTAGTATGATAAAGATATAGATTTATGGAATTGTAAAAGTATACCATAGTTTACGTTAACCAATGCCATAACATATAGCACAACATCACAACTCTGGCCAGTGAGATAAAATACTCATCATTGAACTCATGTAACTAATTTTTACTGTTTATTTATATTTGTGTTAATGTATTCATAATTTCAGAACACCAATAAAAGAGTATATGTTCTTCTTTCGCCGCCATTGACGTCTGAGAACAAAAAATCAACAATAATCGTGTAATTTATTCTCAGCTATACATATTTACCTGTTTTACGATGCTTACCTGCAAAGTTAGGGGCGAGGTCAAGGTGATTTGCGAGGTGACCGGAACAAATGGCCCCACTGAAGGCTGTACTAACGGGGAAGAGTGCCACTGCCAAGGTGATGTCACAGCCTACATAACCCACTATCACCAGCACTATTCCCGGCAACACCAGAGCTGTAGATGGTTCACCAGGTAGAGTTGTAGTGTACCCTACTCCAAGGCTGTACTATGGAACCTTTCTGTGTTTTTACTTTACGTGAGTGATAAGCTTAATGGTGAAAGACTTTGTAATTAGTACTTAATGGTGAGGTGTAGACAACAGTAATTATGATAGGAAATTAATTGTAGTGCTGTGATGATAATATAAGTAACATTAGTGATGACGATAATGATTATTGTGGTGGCTAAGGTGGTGAAATAATTATAAAGGAATTCATAAAGGTTTTATTACAGTAGAGATGATCATAACGGTTAAGTAACTATAGTAATGTGAACAGGAAACAATATGATGTAAAAATGTATCATCTCATTAAGGTTGATTCAATGACATGTGCAAGTATTGTACTACAGTAGGCTCTCGCCAATAACGTTTAACAGGTGCCTGAAAAACGCCGTTATTAGCGAAAACGTTATTTGTGTGACATTAAAATACATGTAAAAAGGGTTTAGTGGTGCAGCCGCCCCAAGAATTTCACCTAGTTTTTCACCTTAGAAGCCCTCCTAACACTTTTTGTTCGCTGAAATAAAAAGAATTGTTATTCAATCATCAAAATAAAGAGTGAGTAATATAACACTTAGCTTGGGGGAGTTTTTGAGGTGCTTGGTGTGATGATTGTTCCGTATCTGAGGGCCGCTAACACTTGCACTGTCTTTCATTCTACAAGCTAACCATTTCACAAGAACTTGCTCTGTTATCACTAACAACCTGTTTCTATCGCCTTTATCGTTCATAGCTCGCCTCGCATTTCCATCACCACCGAAATATTTTTAGCCAGCGCAATACTCTTCTTGGTCTCTTCTACGTTCCTCTTAATATTTCGCACTGTAGACTCAGGACAGTTAAATTTCCTCACTTTAAAAGTTCCCAGTCATTCAGGTGGCAAATCACTCCCTCCACCACTTCCCCTAGCCCCTACAGGCAAAAATGAGGGAGCCATTATTGATCACCGACCCTAACAACCACTGGTTATAGTGGCGAAAATCTCACACGTGGGCACAGCGCTGTATTCCACTGAGCGTGTGTGAGAGTGAGAGTGAGGCGGAGAGGACAACTACGTCATCAACATGGCAGCAAACAAACGCTATCATTGATGCGCTCGGACGCTTCCGCGAAATTTCCGTTATTCAAGAGAATTCAGAAGTTATTATCGAAAATGGGTATCTAATGAAACTTACCGTTATTGTCGAAAACGTTATTGTGGAAGTCGTTATTGGCGAGAGCCTACTGTACACCGGAATTACCTTTAGTAAAATATTACATGATTTTGAATTTTTACTTTGTTTTAATCCTATCTCATTCACCCGTAGACGTCTCTGTTTTAAGTAAAGTATTATTGTAAGTCCAATACCACTTTTATGAGGTTACTTCTGTGTTTTGGGGGAAAGTTTGAACAATATTAGGGTCAGTTTTACACATTAAATTACGAGGAAACAGTCATGGTAAGAACCTCTAACAATGCAGAGAGAGAGAGAGAGAGAGAGAGAGAGAGAGAGTAAACATACAAGTTACTCACAGATGGTGGAGAAGATCCGCCTGGAGGTAAACACAGTCATGTATTTGTGGGTAAGCAACCAAGTGACCCACATCCCTGATAGTATACTGCCCAGGAACTGTGTGACGAAGGGTATGGCGGAGAGCAGGCCGTTCTAAGAAGAGAGGAGGAAAACTATTACATTAAGAAAGGAATCGAGAGTTGACAGGCTGGTTTGAAGATTGAAGACGTCATAAGAATGGTAATAATAATAATAATAATAATAATACGATATTGTGGGGTAAACAAAAAAAAAATTATATATATATATATATATATATATATATATATATATATATATATATATATATATATATATATATATATATATATATATATATATATATATATATATATATATATTGAAAAATGGAAGGAGGGCAGCAAGACAATAATGAGGTAGAAAATATTTGAATACCAAGAGGATAAACCAGACCTTACGAACGACAGGTTGGAGTATATAGCCTAGTCTAAAATAACGAACAAAAATAACATACAAGAAACAAGTGAGGTTGGTTGCATTAGTAAACATACATAATGCATTAAAACTAAATTATCAGGATCTCTTAACAATCCATATTAAAATTACTAGTATTGTGCATTAATTAGCAGACAGACATAAAAACATTTAACGGCATAATAAAAGTTCCTATGTGACGCCTGCGTATACTACTAGACTTGCAAGGGTTAGGTGAAAAAAATCATATAATCTCACTGTTTTGATGGAGAAGCCAAGGATGCTGCTCATGTAGGTGGGTAGTTGTGTGAGTAAGAGGTTGAAGCCGAACATAGAGCCGATATGAGCCACGTGTGTTGCCCACAGAGGTACGCTCGTCAGGATACTCCGCCACGGGGTCCTGCTTGGCTGAAGGGAAAAATACTTAATTGCAATTTACATATTTATCCCCCAACAGTGAGAGTAATTGAGTATATTATTGATTTTTTCCTTCGTCTATGTGTGTGTGTGTGTGTGTGTGTGTGTGTGTGTGTGTGTGTGTGTGTGTGTGTGTGTGTGTGTGTGTGTGTGTGTGTAACTTTCCTGTTTGTGGGGAAAAAATAGAAAAAATGGTTGCCTCACCTTGTTATGCGTGGTTCCATCCTGGATGGCGTGCAGGATGTAGCTCCTCTCCTCGAGGCTGATTTTAGGGTGCTGGTCGGGAGAGTCGTGCATGAACAGCGCCCACACCACCACCCACACCAGAGAGACGCCCCCGGTCACGTAGAACACGGCTGGCCACCCCACCTCCGCGATGATCATCCCACACAGGGGCATGGTGATAATGGTGCCCAGGGTGTTGGCTGGTGGTGGTGCAGTTATGGTGGTACAGTTATGGTGCTGGCTGTAGTGTTAAATGATGGTTCAACTCGTCTTTATTTTTTACAGCTTCTTTAGGAATACAAAACTCTGCTTATTGTGTTTCTTCAATACATTAATTTATCATTACTAAAAAGAATTAATCTTAACTTGGATATGCATGTAGAGACTATACATATATACTATACATATAAATACACATATACTTACACATATAAGTGAAGGACATGAACCTGGGTCGTTCAAGAGGCGGGATCCACCTGGCCACCATAGTGTTCAAGGACGGATACACCACACCCTGTACAACACAATACCACACCCTGTACAACACAATACCACACCCTGTATAACACAATACCACACCCTGTACAACACAATACCACACCCTGTATAACACAATACCACACCCTGTACAACACAACAACAACCATCATTAGTATATCTTAACTACAGTATAAGTCACCTTATCATCATTATCTTGTGTTGTTAAGTTTGGATTCTCTAGTTTTATATATTCAAGTCAATAAAATGTATGAGAAGGATTATAACTTGCTCACTAAATAAGAAAATTATATACATTTATCTAATTTGTTGCATGAAAAAAATCATTCGTGTTGTTTGTACTCGTGACGTTACTTGTACTATAAATGACAGCAGTGCATCGCCTGGTTGTCAGAAATCAAATCAAACACAAGGACTCATTGGAACTTCAAGACTATGACGGACTATGGACTGTAACCACCACTGATATCTACGTTTCGTGAGTGGCAGAGGAAGTTTCAGGAGACAGATATAGTGTTCTGTAGAGAGAAGGGGGCAGGTCGGTGAACATAAGTGATGAGGATGGTGAAAGTATACGGGAATTGCTCGACTACAGTCAACGCAAGTCCACTGGGGCGCTAAGGTCTTCTATACCTTACTGGGCTGCCACCAAGGACTGCAGTAATCGCCTCAGCGTTACATAAGGTCTTACACAAACGGACGACCTTTCACGAACTGCGGGTCTTGATGGGAGCTTCCTTCCTCAAGTCATCTTAAGGTTTCGTGTAATTTGTGTATCTGATTTAGTGCCTGCAACCTGGCAACACACCACAATGGGATGTAAAAAAAAAAAAATTGCATTAGTTTCAACCATTCCTTACCTTATAAAATATCTGAATTCCCTGACCACTACTTCTAATTAAAACATCTTACGTGAGCCAGACCAATGGCAGCTCTAAGCAGGATGAGGACAACGTAGTGGGCTCGGGCGGCCAGTGGGGTGAAGAGGGTGAGGACGCCGCCAATCAGGATGGCCCCACCGAACACCCGCTTCGTCCCGTACAGCTCTGCCAGCCGCCCACCAGGTATCTAAGAGGCGAGTGTGTCACAGGTCAGAAACATTCTGTGAGATCTACTGCAGTGTTGATTCTCTTTCCCTAGTCTACTGTTGGCTCTGTAATAAGGTAATGTTGTATCTATCAGCTGAGGGTTGTATAAGTCTCCCGAGTGTGTTTTGTTTCTATCATGTTTATTCAATCACATGATGGGAGGATTTATTATAAACGTTAATAAATATAGACGTGTAAATTCATTTATTCGATGCTCTTTTGTTTCTTCTGTTCATCTTGGTGTTTCTGGCGTTTATACTGGAGTTAATATGAGTCAAGACACAGTCAACCCTAACTATAAACGTAGCCCAATTAACAGTAGCACTAATATTAACTTCAAAGATAATATACAAAGAGTAAATGAGACTCTACACTAAGATACTATGAGCACTTGTTATTCTAGAACAATTCCCTGGCGTTAGTTACACAGCCAATCCTAATGCTGGGAGGATCAAAGCCTCTATACCAGTATTATGTAAACATCATCTATTCACACGAGGTCAGTCACTTCTAGACTAAGTAAACGGACCAAACAGCTGTGAGCAAGGAGGGGTGTGAGAGGGATGTGAGGAAGAGGAGGGTGAGAGGGATGTGAGGAAGAGGAAGGTGAGAGGGATGTGAGATAAAGGGTGAGAGATGTGAGGTAGAAGAGTGTGAGGTGCCTAAGACTCTCGACCTGAATAATACTGTGATGACTATTAACCTTTTTATCACTTGTTAGTTTATGTATTATTAACCCACAAACACAGATCATTTACCATTTTATCACTTTATTAACTCTCTATGTACTGGAGGTTTATTGTGACTCCAAATAGCTTGATAGTGTTGATGGGCGAGTCACCAAGACCCTATCTGAAACTTGAATCTTTAAATCAGTGTGAGGGTCATGTAACGCGACTGAGGGTGGTTTGCTTGGTGAGGTGTCCAGCTGCCTTGTTCCACTCTTTTTCATAACTGTGGTAATGTGGGTAGAAAGTGGGTGAGTAAACTAGCACACTGAGGATCTGTGGGTGGGTGGGCGGGTGAAGGCGGTGCTAAGAGGTAGTATAAAACGTCAACACACACACACACAACAATGGCAGGCCGGTCCTGGTGTCAAGGAATAATCCAAGAAGATCGGACAACTCGCCACCTGCACTGGCTAACCAGTTAGGTTAGGTTGGGTCAGGGTCGACCTGGCCCCTCCTCTTAAAGAGAAGTTAAAGAGATGCGTAAATGAGCGTCAGGTGAGCCTCTCAATAGGTGGTAATAATCAACAGGTGACTCACGTTTGTGGCGAAATACCCGTAGAAGAAGGCGCCCAGGACCATCCCCTTCTCCGCCCCCGTCAACACCATCTGCAGGAGGAGATACACTTCACTGTTTACATAGAATCACCCGAAGATTAAACACCCTAGCCTAATTAACCTGAAGATTTACCTCTGAGATCTACCTGGGGGGGGGGGGCTCCTTTCTCTTCATTAAGCTTTGGATTTGGTCACACATCTTATAATAAACATAACAGGTGAACTAGGCACTTACCTCAACATACCTCGTTATATCTCGAGTATATAAATGTAAGCTGTGTTATGTCTCCCTCCATGATACTTGTTGTTCAGTTTATTTCTAGATTGGGTTAACTTTGTGTTGGGACTTAATAAATTAAATGAAGCTCCATTTTTATTCGCGAGTTTAAGGTTCCATTACTCTCATCAACTGGACCACCAAGCATGGACAAACATCCACTCTGTCTCACTTTAACCACTCAACAGTCATACCACTCAACAGTCATACCACTCAACAGTCATACCACTCAACAGTCATACCACTCAACAGTCATACACAAAAGGATATATAAAAAGATATGCCCCCAGAACCTCTCAACTTCTACCTCTTCACTATGTTCATTTACGTTACCTTAAGGTTCTGTAGAGGTAACCTATAATGCCTCGTATATACCTTATTAGTGAGTGGGTCTTCCTCCGTCAGGTAGTCTTCAGGTAAGGTGGAGTTATCTGCTCCTGCTGTCTTCTTCCCCTTCAATGTCTCCTCCATCAGTATTGTCTGGTTCTCCTGTGTGTTATTGATACTATTTAATGCACACACACACACACACACACACTGCTACTCGAAGGCTAGACTCCAGGAGACTCACGTTGGAAAGATACCACACGCTCGCCTCTTGTCGGAATTTCTTACTTACAAACAACTTGAAGGTCATGTACTGTGTTGTAAGTATTGTTGTAGTTAACGTTAGCTTCGTCTCTCGTGTCAGTTTGGTGTCAGTGTGATAAAGGAAAAAGTGTCGCTTTGGTTGATAAGTACAAGTAATCTTAAGTATTCCTAATAAGTTAATAAGTGGTCTAATCGGTTTATAAGTATGAGTAATCTTAAGTAGTTATGATAAAAGTATTAAGTGGTCCTATGGTTAACAAGTAAAGTTAAGTAAATTTAAGCATTCGTGATAAACTAATAAGATGGTATAAGTGGTTAAAAAGTAAACTTAAATATTCCTAGTAAAGTAAAAAGTAGTGGTTGACAAGTAGTAGTAAACTTAAGTACTCATCATAAAGTACAAGTCCAAATCGAAAGTTTTTGTACTCAAATTAAATTACTGAGTCTAAACGATTACATTTAAATTAATATTGGAAATAATTTGTCCTCGAAAACAAAAGCTGATAAATTACCTGTTAAACTAAAGATGAAAAAATAAAAAAAATGTGTAAAAATAATAATTAACACACACAAATATCCCTTACACACATTACACAACACTAGTACAGTATACCTGGTTATATGACACACAGTAGGCGGTAGTGTGGGCGTGGGTAGTGGTGTTGGAGTTCCCGGAAGTGGGCGTGGGTGTGTGAGCCATAGCTACTATCGCTACGGACATGTTAATCCTCAGCATGTACAGCACTGCCACGCCCGCTGACGTCAATAGTGCTAGGGAGTGTCGTGCCGGAACAGCTGTTGGGAGAATGGGAATCATTAGGGTTGCCGTACGTCCGTATTTTCCCGGACATGTCCTCCATTTAGGTCTCGAAATCTTCATCCGGAAGGAATTTTTAAAATTCTTCAAAAGTCCGGAATTTCATCTTCCATCATTTTCTCCACGGAAAAAAACATGAAACTGTAATGACGAGAGAGAGAGAGAGAGAGAGCGAGAGGGGGAAGGTGGAAACCGTAGAGATCTCGTTCAGTTTTCGTCAGCTGATAAGTCACTTGTACGCCTGTTCGGTGTTGTCAACTTAGCTGTCAAATATTTGATTGATAAGGGGGTAGAAGTTGATGAAGTGTCTTGACCAAGTTAGTAACCTGAAGCAGTTTGTGGAAAATTACAAGAGTGATGAAGAATTTAGTAATCTGCCAACACATAAAAAGTGGACCAGATACTTTGAAAAATCAAAGAACATTGAATGCCACTCAGAATTGCTAAGAATTGCACAATTCTTCTTTGCTATATCTCACAATGCAAATATAGAAAGAGTTTTTTCACTGATGCAAAGTCAATGGACAAAGGAAAGGAACAAATTGAGTGTTGAAACAATGAAAGGCATTCTGACTGTACAGTACAGCTTCCGAGAAACATCTTGCAGTGACTTCTATACCTTTCTAAAGAGCAATCAGCCAATACTGAGAAAGATCCGATCTACAGAAAAGTATGCATGGGCACATCAAGTCACACACACAGTGGGGGAAGAAGACTGCAGCTAAAGGAATGAAGATGTTCAGCCTTAAGCAAAAGTATTTTTTTTTTTTTTAAGATTTCTATACCATGTATGTTGTATATTAGCCTGTGTGTGCCGGGCGGGGGGGGGTCTTCGGGAGCGTCCTCTTTTTTTAATGTTCAGATATGGCAACCCTAAATGGGATACCAACGCCGTTTAAAAAAGTACAAAAGTAATCATAAGTATACAAAAGTAATTATAAGTAGACAGGGGATCGATATAACAGTTTTTATAAAGTGAAAAGTCTAAGTGGGTTTTTTGGTTTGGTTAGATTAGGTTCTAACCATCTTGGCCCAAAACGACTCTTTAGCAGGAGTCGAGAGCTGTATCCCATTGGCTGCCACGCTAACTAATCTAATATTAACATAATAACTTGAAAATTATGAAGTGCTCCCTTCCCTCCCCTTCCCTTCCCTTCCCTACACAGTCCAGTGGTGCATCATCGTGAGTAGTAACATTATAAACAAAATGATTTGTGGAGCATTACAGAGGTCACACACACACACACACACACACACACACACACACACACACGGGCTACATAAGCAGTATCATGCCACTTTCTGGACCCTTTATTATGTCCCAAATTTAGTAACAAGATTAACTAAATCAGGGTTAAATAGACACCAGTTAAAGGTGACTTGGAGTTTTGTTTTGGTGTCGTTATTCTTTTGTTTTGTTATTGGTGGCGTTATTCTTTTGTCATTTTGGTGGAATTAGAGGAGAAAATTGCGCCTAATCTTTAAGGAGGCGTCCAATGTGTGTGTGTGTGTGTGTGTGTGTGTGTGTGTGTGTCGTTTGCTTTTATTGGTGGTGATTAGCTGTCATGGAAGAGCTCCTTCACCTCACAGTAACCGATACCACCTCCCCTCACACACAACCTAGTTTCAGCACTTTAATACGTCAACTAAACTGTACTTTTGACAAACATCTAAAGGTCAAGCATAACATATCACACTCAATAAAAGGTAACCTGGATAAATGATCCTTCAGGAGGTCGACCTTGAGCTAACAGGAGGTGTGGAGTGTGTTGTGGGGTGACTGATAATAACAGGTCGAGGCAAAGAGAGGCTCAGTGTTTCAATGTTGTCTTTACTATTGTTTTCTTTACTATTGTTTTCTTTATCTTTCGTTTATTTTTACCTAACCTAACCTAACCTAACCTAACCTAATTCCCCAGGTAAAACTATATTGTCTTTACTCTTGAAAACAAAAGGAAAATAAAAATAAGGAGCCTCGAATTATCTTACGTCAGAAACTATCAAGATAATTCTTAATAATTCACTCGGATTATATTTGTACACGTAGTTCGACACCTGAAGAAAAATATAGTGTATTTACTATCCTAACTACGCACTTGAAGATCGTAAGTTATTGAAGCGTAGTTATGTTCTATGACGGAACTCCAAAACAATCTTGAGACATTTTTACTCGTGAGGAAAGTATAGATAACTTAATTGTTTATCTTATCACTGATCCTCTTTTGTTTGTCATCAGTCTATTGTTTTAGGAGTGTGTAGGTGTGTGTGTAGGGGCGCTCTCATGACGACTAATCCCCATAACTGAAACCAAACGTTCTTATCGTCAGTACTCCCCCACACCTACAACGCCCCCACAACACCCACCCCACACAACACCCCCACAACGCCCCCCCACACAACACACTCGTCACACATAAAAGATAAGAAAGACACGTGTCACCCCGTCATATTCTCAACACTTTACAGACACATTCGTATTCTGTTAACACATAACCTCGTATAAGATGAGTCAAGGTGAGGGATCATGTCTGTGTCACCTAAACTGATTCTCTAACTGACTTTAATAGTATAAGTTAAGTGGTTGTGTTTGTTAAGTGTTTGTGTTAAGTGTTTGTTTGTTATCCATGTGTGTGTATGCATGTGTGTTTATTGATCGCTAGTGTTGACAGTAAACCATAAAGACTTCATCATTACCACTAGTGACATCATAACACTACAATGATGTCATAACACCATAGATGACGCCAATCTAAAATATGACTGGATAACACCTCACATGTCTTGGGCCAGGACTCGAACCCATGATATAATGGTGAGAGATAGGCGCGTTACCTCTCTACCGCCAACACCTTCAATAAGAACACTATATCACTAATGACGTCAAGAGCAAACGTGATGTCATAATAACTGATGTCCTCATATCACAATAGAGATGTCACTGATGTAAGAGGTCACTATAACACAACGGAAGTCACTATAAGGCTCACCACATGTTCCTGTCTTGGTATTGGTCATTCTGTTGAGTCTCCCTATGATGAGGCTCAGGGGGTGTATAGAGAGGGAGATACGGAGTCTACCAGGAGGGAGGTACAGGGAGAGTATAACGAGGGAGATACAGAGAGTCTATCACGACCCAAAGACTCTATCATAAGGGAGTCTACCAGGAGGGAGATGCAGGGAGTTTATCACGACCCAAAGACTCTATCATAAGGGAGTCTACCAGGAAGGAGATACAGGGAGTTTAACACGAAGGAGATACAGGGAGTTTAACACGAAGGAGATACAGGGAGTTTACCACTACCTAGACGCTATCATAAGAGAGTCTACCAGGAGGGAGATACAGGGAGTCTACCAGGAGGGAGATACAGGGAGAATACCAAACAGAGGGGAAGGGGGACACAGGGTGACAAGACCCTCACTCTTACAAGGTGTTGGACATACTGAACCTGACCACGACAACCCTCCCTCCCTTAACACCAGGCATGGTGGGGGGGGGGGGGATGGGGAGGGGGGTGAGGGAAGTTGGTGGGGAGGGGTGAGAGGGACTGTTGGTATCATGTATTAATACGACTCAATACAGGTCAGCAAACAGGTATTCTGGGCTAATTTATACACCTGATATATATCTTTGTTTTGGTTGTAAGTGAGGGGGGAGGAGGGAGATGGGAGGGGGGAGATGGGAGGGGGGAGGGGGAGGGAGGATGAGTTTGTGAGATTGATAATTTTAAGACTATGGTATCATTAGTTATTACATTAATAAGTACAACAACACTATCAATAAAAACAATCCCATATACAAAACAAAGAACAAACATCCTGTAGTGATCGAGTTAATAGCATAAGAGATTAATAGTAAACACAATAGTAAAGCAACATGTGTTCAGAATAGGGGACGTAGTCGTGATATTTTTCCACCACTCACTAATGGTTCCAGGCCACTGACTAAACCTGTTTCAGTATAGCGAATAATAATTGCTCAGGTCCCTCACACTGCTTTACC